TTCGTATGTGTAGTTCTGGTCAATGGCAGCAACAGTAACTTGGGGTCACTCTGTAAGTTCAACACATGTTGTGCAACCGCAGGCTTGTCACTTCACCAACCTCCTTGTGTTGTTTGAGACTGGTCGGTCGCCTGTAATTTGCCAGCATGGGTATATACAGTCTTACAGATTTGATTTTAAGGCACATGGTCTTTATAATGCATCAGGGTAGCTACAGCTTGAGCAGAGGGGCTTCCAACCATGCCTGCAAGAGTAAAAAAAGCACAGAAAATTACCTCATGTACAGCGGTGAAAATTCGTAAGCCACAATTTACAAAAATTATTCAGGCCAACTGAAATTTGTATTAGAGCCAGTGGAATAGTTCTGGGGTCAAGGAATTAGGCCCATGATACAACATGGTGCTGAATGAAATAATTGGTGTGGACACTGAACATATCAAAATATAGGAAGGGTTATAGTAAATGGCAAAAATTGTGTGTCTTACAAGGTCTTGTCATGGTATGCATCCGGTTATCTCTCTCTGTGAGCAACCAGAAACAGCTTCAACCACATTTTTACAACCTGCTTGTTACCATATTGGGCAATGATCAGCTGTGGCTGGTTGGTTGCAACTTAATTAACCCCTCCTTTGTCTCAACCTGGCTTCTGATAAGCTTCTTGGCCTTATCCTGGCATTGCTGGCTCTCTCTATAGTTGTAGTTACTGCACTTCACCTAATTCTCTCTTACTCCATGTTGGTCATATTAAACACTGTCCAGTTGATGTCATGGTGTAAGACTCATGCAACATCAGACTTGTCCACTTCACCTTTCCTGGCAAACCCCTTGTATTGGTTGAGCCTGATCGCCACATGTAGGTTTAGCATTATAACAATGCCAGACTTTTTGCCTATGTGCAAGGTGTGATGTCTAATGGTGCTACTCTTCTGATATGCTCTGAATATGTACTGGAGTCTCCCTGTGAAGACCCAACCTTTTCTCTGCAGGTATAAGGCTGCTCCTGAGATGGCGCTGAAACTTTTCTTTGCCTCTGTTGCTCTAACAGTGTAATTCACTGAAGTCCCTAGGCACAGTGAACAGTCGTTGAGTCACTAGAGTCACTGGACAATGACTTGGTCATCTAGTGAGCCACCACAGCAACAACTGCAACCGGGTGCATGTTTACTCACAGTTGTTGCTGTTCTTTTATCCCTACTACCATGTGTTTACAACTGGAAATAACACGAGGTTTCTAACTTTATCATTACACTCTTTCTCTCCTAACCAGAGCAGATCATAAATAATTGAAGTGATGAGTTACTGGATTCTGTTTAACACACACAAAATGGTAATAGGAAGAGCCAGACACAAACCATACCGTTTTGTGTGTCCAGTAATAATAGAGTGGGGCCAGCTGATGAGTCCTCCCACTATAAACATAAGGGATGAAAACCATCTCTGTGGGATAACCCCTGGAGATTGTTCCTGGCTTTTTCTTGTTTTGCAGGTATACAGCACATTCTCTTCTTTTTCCTATAGTTCTGACATTTTCATGCACTCTAAACAATTGTGTTGGTATACATGCCATGCCATTGTGTCTGGCATGCAGTGAATTACAACTCTTCTGGTATGCTCTGTTATCTATGTATGTGGAGTCTCACTGTCTTGGGGTTGTTAGCAGTGAAGACCTACTGTGGGTTAAAGGCTGCTTTTGAGAACTCAAGTGAGTGACATTCACAACAGTCCACAGTAAAGTCACTACAGTCGTCGCGGAGTCACAAGAGTCGGAGTCACTTTAAAATACAAGTAGAGACTCATGTCTTAGTCATCTAGTTAGCCACCACTGTAACAACTGAACCTTGTCCACATTTACTCACATTCTGCTATTTATCCTCATGTATGTCCAGAGACTGAGGGTTTACCCAGCAAAATACAAGAAGAAACACCATTGTGGGTGATGAAATGAATATGGCAGGATAATCAACCCCTGAAATGGAAGTTTCTGACTTCATCATTACACTCTCTCACACACCTCTCCAGTTCTGCAGTCTGACATGTTTATGTAATATATATGCCGTTCCAATTTTTGTCTGGCATGATACGCATGCGCAATAGGGGTTGTTGGCGCATGCGCGCATGGTCAGCGCACCAGCATGCAGTATGTTACGACACGTGAGTAGAAGAGGGATATCAGTGGCCGCAACTCTAAGAATGCCTATAAAGGTGATCAGGCAGTTGTGGCAGTAGGAGACGTGCACATTGTCCATGTTTGGTAGGTTGGAGACACGCTGCCATCTCTGGAGGTGCAGGAAGGCACACCAGCCACAACTGTGAATGTGAAGGACTTGTTCGCTAGCAAGAAGGGCATCCTATTCGGAGTGCCTGGAGCCTTCACCCCTGGCTGCACGAAGGTGTGGGACTGATATGTGCTGGGTCCACGACAGTAGCTCGGGTTCCTTTCCTACAGACTCACCTGCCGGGCTATGTGCAAGACTGGGAGAAGCTGAAGGCCAAGGGAGTTGAGGTAGTGGCCTGTGTGTCTGTCAATGATGTGTTTGTCATGGCGGCTTGGGGAGAGGCACGTGGTGCTGATGGCAAGGTCAGGATGTTGGCTGATCACAACGGAGCCTACACAAAGGTCTATTGAAGACTTGAAGGTAGGGATTGACGATGACATTGTGTTGTGACTATTGCAGGCACTTGACTTGGAGTTTGATGCAGTAGGTGCTCTTGGGTCTGTACGCTGCAAACGGTCAGTGGATAATTAGAAGACGTGAGAAGTGTTGGTTATCTCTAGCGGAGCAGGTTCTCTGCAGTGGTGGAGGACAGTGTCGTCAAAGTCATCAACGTGGAGCCAGATGGTGCAGGCTTGACCTGTTCACTGTCAAATGCACTATTTGACCAACTTTGAACACTGGCAGGAGGACAAATCATTGCTCTAATAATATAATTAAAAGCTGTGAGGTTTCAAGGTACCTCTGTAAACCCTGAATGTTTCAAAACTTACGCATGCATACACTGCTTTATGCTTAATTGACGGTGCAAAGAAGCATGAAAACTGCTGTAATAATCACGAAACCAAGTCTTGTGCCCTGGTTTAATCAGTTGATTACGTATTTACTTAGGAGAGTTTGCCAGAAATTTCAGTTTCTTCTTGCCGCTGAACTGCATGAGCTGCTCCACAGCGAGAGCCACTGTCTTGTCAAGAGGGTCCATGACTCCCCTCTGCACCCACTTGGGAATGGTGGTCTGGGCATGTTTGAAGCCAAGTTTCTGGAGTAGCCAGTTGATGTGAGGATTGAACTCTCCACTGACTGATGACAGTAGGGTCAGTCGAGGCTCCAGCTTCCAACACACACACTGGAACTGCCGCTTGCTCTCTCCTCCCTTGTCCACCTCTTCCTCCGTTGTCATCTCCTTTTTAGCACTTGCCTCTGTATCTCCTGTGGGTAATATACAACACACATCCATTATCAGTGATGAGCACAATGGCAAATGTTCGCTGCAACAGGGATGATGTGTCTACGAACAAAAGACTATTATTTTTACTTGTATGGCTGCGAACAAACACTTACTGAGGGGAACTTTGTGTCTCTCCAGATACTCAATATAGTTGACCACAAGGTCGGGTAGGAAGAGGTAGTGCTCTACATTAGTGCTGACAGAGATGGGAGTAGAGAAGCTAGAGATAAGACTGCACTCCACAAGTGGAGGGTTCTGCAGCAGCTGCTGTGTGAGAAGACCAGGGTGAAGGACGGGCCAGAAGTGGTCGTTGATGAGCTCCACACTGAGAGTTGGAACCAGTAAGATCTGCTGGATGCTCAGCTTCTTGCTGAACTTGAGCACCGCCTGTTGAGCCTGGGTTTGGCTGCTGGGAGAGTGTCCTTGGTGGAGGTGACTGTCAATGCAGACGTAGGCGAGCCAGTTGTTGATGTTAGTGCCAGTGATGGCAGGGACTCTCCCCTTGCCACATGCCATGCCATTGTGTCTGGCATGCAGTGAATTACAACTCTTCTGGTATGCTCTGTTATGTATGTGGAGTCTCACTGTCTTGGTGGTTGTTAGCAGTGAAGACCATACTGTGGGTTAATTAAAGGCTGCTTCTGAGAGGGCTCCAAAACCTTCAACTCAGTGAGTGACATTCACTACAATCCACAGTTTTCATCACTATATACAATGGCTGAGTCACAAGAGTCACGGTCACTAAGTAGAGACTTCGGACTCAGTCACTCAGTCAAACCTTTTGGAAACTATCTGGGCTACAAGAGCTCTGCGTTGTTGTTTTATAACAGGTTCATTTCAATTTTCTTACATTAGTATGCCTATGGTGGCGCTATTACCCTTAACCCCATATGACTGATTTTAACCCCGTGTGACCTATTTAACCCCGTTTAACCCAGTGCGACTGTAATCCGGTGTGACAGCCAACTGGTCTTATAAAAAATATATAGCAGGCATGCATTGCATTACTTCATTACCAGATAAGTGACAAATATTATTACTAAGAGCAATGTTACAAAAAAGGTACAGACTTGCGACCAAGGACCTGTTTGAAGACAACGGTTATTTTATGGCACCACTGGGGAAAAAACAAACCTTTCTTTCTAGGGGTTTGCTGCTTCACATCCATAAAATTCTGCTCAGTGTCCATTACAGACACTCTGTCCATACTTACTCCCAACAATTCACCAACACGCTCACAAACATCCTGCACGAACAAATAGTGTACTTAAAGCCCTTCCCACAATCAAATTTACCGTTTCATTTTCATCTGAAAACATGTACGAAGAAAACCGAAACATACATCTATCTACAGCCAGCTCCACACGTCTCGGTAGTTGCCAGCTTCCAATTGCTTGCCTTTTCTCCTGCTTCATATCATCACACATTTTTTTCCACCGAATTACCACAGTCTGAAGCACATCATCAGTCACTGCCTACTCGAGACACACACTTACAGCTTGGAACAATGAGTTGCTATACTTTTGATGCCTCTGCAAGCGATGCTTCCAAAGGGACATAGGCTATCACTGAAAATTTCCCGTGTAGAGTGATTGCAGATGCTAGCTCCAATGTCTCACTCTGGCCATACTCCAATGGCTGGAAATGGGTAGCTATATACACTCACGACAAGACACCCCACTTTCTGCCCTCACCTGGTGTGCTGGATACACAACACATCGAGCATAACGTCCCTTTACCTGATCTGCCACACACCCCTCACAGCCACCATACTTATTTCCAAATACAACCGTGCCCAGACTCCAACAGTTCAAGCCAGCAATCAACTCCTGCTGTACAAAGCATGAAACAACTTTCTTCCATGCCGAAAACATACCTGTACATCTCCAAATGGCTTGCCTGGTTGTACTAGTTTATTCAACTGGACAGAAACTCTGCTCTCCAAACAACACCACAAATCACGGAGTTCGTCTACTACTACTTCCACTGGCAACTGAGATTCATAAGCATTAGATCTTCTCCATAACCAAAAATAACTCACCCCAACATTGTGTGGAACTGACTGACACTGACATGTAAAGCTACACGTGACAAAAATATTCCTATTCACTAGTCTTAAAAGGGCAGAGCCCTTACCTTCCAGTAATGGTAGAGAAATGCATGGTCAAAAAGGCAGACCAAGCAGATTCAAAATAAGGTTTGCTGAATCTGCTGGCAAGTTTAGTTAGGGAAGCAGCAGTGGTAAGTTCAAAGGCGGGAGAGACAAGACAGAGTCCAACAACAGAGAGGCCACCAGGCAGCATTTCCCTCACCTGCAACGTGACATGTCCACCTGACAGACAGTACGAACAAACGCTACCAGCACACCTGGTGGGCATGGTCCTCAACCCACCAGTCTTCATAGGGTAAACCACACTTGACATCATCTAATGATGATAGCATAAAATAACATTGCAACATGCACAAACTAACCTAAATTTTCTTCTACATCAGGGGTTGGAACAAAGTACAACACGAACCCTTTCTTAGGTGTCATCTATAGTTCAGGTCAGAGGATAGGAATAGTGTAAGCTGGTTATCATTCTCACCCTGCCGACAAGGACTCCAATTCTTTCTCTACCATGCTCATAGGAGCTCAGAACTTCATTCACATACCTCTCCACTTGCACTATCATTGTTGCCACAGTTTTGTTTTGTGATGATGTTCCGCCGCGCAAGGTGCACGTGTGTGTACGTACGTATAGGCCCTCCATGTATATTATACACCCGTTGCAGGAACTTTACGCTACGGGGGTATATACGGGCGGCGCGGCTCTAAGGTCATTCGGTATGAACGTCGCGCGCGCGTTCGAGGGGAAAGAACACCACACCCTGTCACCCTGTGCTGCTCAGCGCTCGGGCCAAAGATGTTGAGACAGACGATTGCCAGCGCTGCTGGGTTGAAGCCGCGGAAGAAATTGCACTTCGAAGTAACATTCAAACTGGAAGATTTGTCGAACTGTACATATGTATCGGGCGTTCTGTTCGCCAAGATAAGGTTGAAAGAAGGCGGCCATTTTTCGCATTCGTCTCGGCAGTAAGTCCACTAATGTAAAGTTGCAAAATAATATGCTGAAAAGTGATTTGCGCTTAGTGTGGAAATTAGTGGCCATAAAGTGAGTTGGGAGGAGGAAGTGAAATTCTCTTGCAAGCTCTATGCCAGTGTGAACACAGCAGAACTGGAGCCACGCATATGCAAGGTGTCTGTTCGAAAGGTAAAGAGTAAATATGGCGCTTCGATTTTGTTTAGTTCTTGAGAACACTTGTCCTGTAGGAGACTCGTGGTGGGCGTTCCTATAAAAAGGTAAACACAATGTACATGGATAATGTGCCTACCACCGCTATTTTTAGTTGGGCTATGTACCAATCAACCTGTCTGAGTTTGCTGGAGCAGGTGTAGTTCAAAGAAAGTATCTCCTGGAGAGTTACAATGAAAATAAACATAAACCAGACAACTCTATCCTGAGAGTGAAGTTGGTACTGCGGCAAACTTCAGGAGACGTTCTCTTCAAAGCGTAGGTTTCATTGACGTATGTTGACTGCATGGGACTGTGTCTATTGGTAGACCTCGACCTCCAGTGTGGGAAATCAGTGAACCTGCAGAACAAGACGAAGGAATCCAAGCTGACTTGCAGTCATCACGACGTGTCAGTCACAATGCTCGTGTGTCTACAGCCAGTACACTCAGTGGATTCAGTCAGTGTAATGGCCTATCCATAACCCGTAGCTACTTCCTTCACCATCCTAGGTGGCGGTAGTGGGAGTGGAAACGTTCATGTTGGTTCCAGTCTACAAGACATGAGAAGCCATGTCCTGGCCACACCACCAGAGACCAAGAGCAGCTCTGCCTGCAGCTTGCATGCCAGGCCACATGCTAGCAGTGACTCAGGTAACCAGCAGGTACAGTATGTACACACGTCGGATGTTACAGTACTGTTTGTCTGCAGGGTCTTCTGAGTACGAGAGTGCTAGTCAACACAGCTCAGCCAGCAGCCATGAAATGAAGGGAACTGAAACAAAAGACAGTCAGATGTGCCATCCAGCCAAAGACAAGCCGGCTTATGTGGGCCAGAACGCTAATAGCCGCGCTGAACGCAGCAACTCTGTAGCCGAAAGTGAGTTACGGCTTCCTACACAGCTGCCACCAGACAGTTACAGTTTGTCTTACCCGCGCTTCCATCGCCGCGAATCTGGAAGTGGTAGTGGCTCGCCCTCCAAGGTCCAGCATCGCCGCATTCAGAGCCTCTCTATAACTCCTAATAGCTCTCGCTCCACTTCTGCCTACTCCACTTTGTCCGAACGTTCGGCACATGCAGTTGCCATTGAGGATACGGAGTCATTGGTAAGTGCTAGGACCAGAGTCACGACTCAGACTCAGGTGGAGCAGAGCAGGGTTGATGCTGGCAGTGTCATTGACGAACTGCTCCAGCAGCAGCAAAGTGACCTAGGCTGCTCGGCTGAGGAGGAGCCCCCAGGCCTCCAGATATATGTTGACAGAAGTAAGGGAGATGTTGTGGTTGCTGGAGCAGACATGGAAAGGTTGGTTTTGCTGCGTATGTATATACATATGCTTGCTCAAACACTCTCCCTCCACCTTTGCACAGGCGTGATATGAACTTGAAACCAATTGAACTACCAGCACCTGCAAGCTCCAAACAGCGTCGGAAACTCCCAAGCAGTGCAGAGAAGACTAAAATAGGAAACCCAACTATACCTTCAAGAACGGACAAATTAGGAGCAGGTACAGCATCAGACACACAATAACGGCCTTTCTTCTTATTATTATGTTTATACTATGTACCATTGACACTGGCCTATCATGCATTTTTTCTTTGTACAAACTTTTATGTGAGAATATCATACAGTTTTCCTACTAATAAGTTGGAGCTTATCAAAATATGGCTGTATCAGCACACGAAAGTCATTAGTTTGATGTACGATTTCTTCAAAGCATTCCTCACTGTGTGCAAGCCATTGCTCTTTGTCCTGGCACAGTGCAGTCACTTTTGCCTGAAAAGTGAATGACATTGCACTCGAGTCTCTGAGTCCTGACTAGTGCACCTTGTCCTCCTTGTTCCATCTGCCAGCAATTAGCTCAGAGTCAGTTAGCATCCCTCGTGCCTCCTGCACTGCTTCATTCAACACTCTGCGAGCCTCTATGAGACATACTCGTTTTTCTGAACGACATAGTGATCATTGCTTACCAACACCGGAAAGATAGTCAGAACAAGCAGTGTTTCTATAACGCAATGCCAGCTGCCGTGAAGTCTCTCCAGATTTGGTACGAAGACGATGGTCAGCACCTGCTCTGACAAGCTCTTTGACACAGTCAAACTGACCCCACATGGAGGCCTGGTGCAGTGCACTATATCCTGTGGTGCTCCAGTAGCTCAGCAGTGTAGAGGTATATACCGTGGCTCAGTTTACCTGATGCTGAGAGGTGGTTGGGGTTTGCACCAGCTTCAGCGAGCAGTTTCACCATCTCTGGTTGACCTATTACTGCAGCAAGCTCCAGTGCCGTTTTCCTCTCCTTGCCCCTCCAACTCCAGTCCCTCTCCCCTGCCCCTGCATCTAGCAGCTCCTGGAGCTTCCCCACGTCTCTTCCAACTATCGCCTTCTGTTCCTGAAGCATTGTCAGAGCTCACTGAGTTTACTAGTAACCCGTAGCAACGCTTTCCAATATTATTATTACGCAGTGCCACGGATATTTGGAGAGAGTTGAAAATGTCTTCCTCGCGGTCGTACTCGGTCCGTAGAGAAGAAGGCCACCCTGGTCGGGCTCTGGGTAACATGGCCAGCTTGCGATTGGCGAAATCACTGTGTGATGTTACCGTACAAGCAGGCGGCCATCAGTTTGACGCACATCGCGTTGTTCTGTCTGCTTCCAGCGCTTATTTTCGCGCCATGTTTACCGGGCCCATGGAAGAGAGTCAGCAGCGGTTGGTGGTCATCAGGCGAGTGAAGTGCCTTCCCTTGACGCAGATAGCTTGTCTCCATGGTTACGATGTTTCTCTCGTAGGGACGTGCCAGGCCCAACCCTAGGGCAACTCATGGACTACTGCTATACGTCAGCAGTTGAGGTGACTGAAGAGAACGTGCAGGCTCTACTGGCGGCAGCAGACCAACTCCAGTTGCCATGGGTGGTTGAGGTCGCCTGTGAATTTCTCCAGCATCGCCTTGAGCCTTTGAACTGTCTCTCGATTGCATCTCTGGCAGACACGCACTCCTGTCCCGCTCTACAGAGGGCCGCAGAAGCTGTTGCTCTGCATCACTTCCCTGAGGTTCTTTGGCACATTACTATGACCTCACCATTACTATGAGACTCTACTAGTAGGTGGTGGAGAGTGCAGACTTTCTTCAGCTTCCACACACTCAGCTAATAAAGTGAGTAGCTAACAAATTTGACAATGTTACCCCACTTTTATATAATGTGGATCAGACTTGTAGGCAGTGATGACGTGAATGTGGAGCGAGAGGAGGTGGTGTACACAGCTGTCATGAAGTGGATCAAAGGAAATGTCGATTCACGCAGGTTTGATTTGTAGCTGTGATCGGCTGAGTGGAAGAGAGTACTGTTATTTACACCAGGGAGTATCTGCCAGAGCTACTGAAATGTGTACGCCTTTGCTTGCTGGAGCGTAGCTACCTCGTGATGGAAGTTGGTATGGAGCCACTTATTAGGAGCTGTAATGTATGCCGTGACCTTGTGGATAAAGCCAAAGATTTTCTTCTGCTGCCTGAGAGACGATCATCAATGGCTGGTTGGTGTGTCACTCGGTACTGCACAGCTACGACTCTCTGGCTCCCTGCAGGTCCTCACATGTTGCCAAGGAGAAAGATGCAGGGAGGGGAAGCACTGGTGGTTGTAGGTGGCTGGTGTAATGGTGATGCAATTGCTACAGTGGAGATGTACTCTAGCAAACATGATGACTGGAAAGTTGTGGCTACAATGACCAAGAGGAGGTGTGGGGTGGGAGTGACCAACCTCAATGACATCCTTTATGCTGTTTGTGAGTCTTTTGAACTACCGGTGGATGTAAAGTATACCTGCTTATGATAGGTGGGCATGATGGGAGCACGTACCTCAACAGTGTGGAACGCTATGATCCAAAGTGTGACCAGTGGAGCTGCCAGGTTGCAGCTGCAGGGTGCTCTCGTACCAGTGTGGGTGTGGCTGTATTGGGAGACTGTATATATGCAGTGGGTGGGCAAGATGGCTCGGCTTGCCTCTCACTTGTAGAGCGGTATGTTGTAATACAAGCCTTTGTCGAGTTATGGCCAATTCCTACACCAATAGGTACAACCCAAGCACCAACAAGTGGCAGCAAGTGTGCTCCATGACAAGTCCTAGACTAGGTGTGGGGGTGGCCAGTCTAGGTGGCTGTCTGTATGCAGTGGGTGGGTCCGATGGAACGTCACCACTAGCCAGCGTAGAGCGGTCAGTTGCTCACCAATTTCACCATGTCCTGAGGTTATTGCTTCACAGGTACAATCCCCAGAGAGATGAGTGGACTCTGGTCAGTCCAATGGCTGAACTTCGCAAGCACTTGGGAGCTGCAGTTCTAAATGGATTGTTGTATGCTGTGGGTGGCAGGAACCACACCACAGAGCTACGGTCTGTGGAGAGGTAAAGTGTAGTTTGACTAATACAGCTGTCAGTTGGTTCGAGTGACAGGTATGACCCACAGCTGGACCAGTGGACCGGTATGATAGACATGACATGCTGCAGGAGTGGAGTGGGACTGGCTGTCCTCAACTCCCAACTCTTTGCAGGTCAGCAGACAGTTTGATTCTGACCCTCACACTCTTTCTGTTGTTATATACTAGTGGGGGGATTTGATGGCTCCAGCTATCTGAAGAGTGTGGAGTGGCTGGATGAGAAGGACAAACAGTGGAAGCTGGCTGGGAGCATGAGCTACAGAAGACTAGGCTGTGGAGTTGGAGTTGTGTGGACCACTCGACCTAGCTAACTCATAATTTTGCATCAATTTTTGTAGCTGTGCCAGTTTACAATGCAAATGTAATGTATAGCACATTATGAAGAAATGCTGGAACTCTGATGGCTTGACATTGTGTCTCAGTGAGACATCTCCAGAACCTGTGAAGAATTGGTACCCACAGTATATACATAGCTATATACACATCCCACATTCATCACACTCACTTTAATGTGGCCCTGACTATTTGCAGCAAGCAGAACACTGCTGTTCCCTCTCCAGCTCACGGCACTAACAAACTCTGTGGACTGACTGCTATCACTGTTGTCGCCAGCTACACTGCTTGGCTAGTGGGCAGGGAGCAGCATCCACTGATCATAACAATTGGCTGGAAACTGCCTTACCAGCAGTCCACGAGGACAGTTGTACTGGTAGGTGAGCATCGGACTGCTCACTTGCTTGGAATATACATAGACAGCATTGTTCTCACTGCCTGCACAGGACACAATGCACATGGTTAGGGCAAAACAGAGCTGGAAAATGCATGCAGCATATACCGCAGGCTATGAAGTCTGGCGTCACACTTAGCCCCACAAAATTCTTATCATTTGTGTGGCCTCGATATGTTCGGATGCAGACACCATTTGTCTGCCAGCACTTGAGTTCGCTGTCTGTGGATCTGTACACAACCCAATGGTCCTAACAAACCTTTTGTCCACATGCAGTATATAACTTACGCTGAGACCAGCTCATCAGAACCCATGAAGTTCACATAAGACACTGCCTTCTTGTGCCCCAGCAGCTCAAGCAATGGTTTGCTAGGACTGCGCAGGTCTAAATAGTGCACACCATGGTCAGCAGAGCCATAGGCCAGGAAGTAGCGACTGTGTGGATTGAACTTAACAGAACAGATGTTTGCCCGGGCAGAAAAAGAAAAGATGGAATTTGGCTCTCTATCGCTCCACAGCTTTACTGTGCAGTCATCACTGCCGGAGGCAAAGAGAGACGGTTCTTGCGGGCTGTAGGCGACAGACCAGACTCGCCGGCTGTGCTCCTATTTACCAGATAGTCATTAGGGAATGGAGAGAGGCCTCTACAGCCGTTTACCTGGTGTAGACCAGTCCTCTGGCCAGTGCTGGTGTCCCACAAACACACAGAGCCTTCGTAGTCACTAGAGACCAGGCGGTGCTTGTGGTATGGGTTGTAGGCTACACAACTAGTGGGAGAACACATCACAGGTAGGTGACACCATTACCACCATATCACGCTGGGACACCAAACCTGAGCTTTGCAGCACAGCTCATGTCACGAACGGGGAAGTGGTTGGTGAAACCTGCGTTTCTCACAACACTCTCATACTCAAACACCTGAGGACGTGAGGAGGGAGACCACGTGACACGCACGACCTGATCACACACACACACACTGTACATACCTTGATCTTCTTGGTCACTCCAGCTACTGCAAAGAACTCTCCATCACGGTCAAACTCAATGCTGGAGACGATGCAGCAGTTGTTAGTGGGGTCTCCATATGTCAAGGTGGCCAGCTCTCTAAAGGTTCTGAACTGAGTGAACTTGTCCAGGCCATCACAGAATCTCTCCAGACTCTTCTGGCCATCTGGAGGCTCTGCAACAGACACACACATCACGTCAAACACACTCTACATAATAAAATAGCACATCCATACCTCCAACACGTGGAAGCTTTATATTAAGGTAGTCCTCCAGGATTTCACCAAAGTTGGCCTCCACTCTTTGGTTCCGCGAGCTGACCTGGAGACCAGAGGAAGAAGACTGCTCAGTGAGAGTGGGGAGAGGTGGCAGAAGATATGGAGAGAACCACCTGTGATGTGTCGTCCTCCATCTTAGCCTCACTCAGCCTCATCTTGTCTGCCCTCAGGACTTCCATTTCTGTCTCTATCTTCATTAGCTCCTAGTGCAAGAAATATTTTGTATTAGGTACCCCTGGAAGTGTCTTACTTACCTTCTCTTTCTTCTCAATAGCCAGGTCTAGGAAGTGAAGAGTCACAGCTATCTTCACTGCCTTCTCTTTCTACACCAAAAGAAATCCACATTATATATGAGGTGAGATTAACAGCAGATCCAACCTTGTCTCTCTCCTGTGAGCGCTCAGCTATCCCTCTCAGCAAGGCAGAGAGCTCATCCTCACCCAACTTAGATGTAATCTCCAGTATTTGTGCCACATCATGACCACCCTGAATCAAAATGCTCCCATGAAAAAAAGACAAATAGAGGTCTTCATTTACCTCATTCAGCGCTCTGTTGGCTGCAGCCTGAGCCTTGAACTTGGCCACCACATCATTCACTGCAGGTGGAGCGCTAGGAAAACACAAAACAAGACAGACAGAGCAACTGACAGGAGCAGTTAGGGTGAATGGCACTGACTCCTGGTACAACTGCCTTGCACACCGGGCACTGCTGAGTCTGCTCCACTGCGACAACAATGCAGCTGTAGCTGGGGGGTGATGAGCAAGTGAAGGACTCAAAGACAATATTATACACTCACCAGAAACTGTGCCCACACTGTGTCACATACACCTCATTAAACAGATCGAAGCAGATAGGGCTACAAAAATAAGTTATGGCGAAGAAGTGAAGGCCAGAGAACTGTTGGTGGCGCTTGTTCCTTTACCACATCAAGTCCGTGTTTGTCAGCCTAGCAGACGGTTCACTTACAGTGTCATCAGGCTCAGGCCGAGACTGGGAAACCGAGCGCTTTCGCTTTTTGCGATTCCCTTCTTCGGCCGACATTATCGATCCCCCACCCACTTGGCAGATCCTCGCGCGTGCGCGTGGGGCGGATGGTCGCGCGCGCGCGTGTGTAACGCGCGGCAAAGTTGGTATATAGACGAGACAGGTGTAGAGCTGCTCCAGACACCTGGAATGCCGTCGTGCAATACTTCACGTAGGATGAATGACGTGGTATTGCAGAGCTAGAGAGCTTGTCTACATCATGCAGCGTAGGAGTGTGGATTGGGGTGTCCGGAGACATGACTGGCAAAGAAGTGTCTGTAAAAATGCCCCAACTTCATCTCTTCAGGGTGCCTGAGCAGGTCCCAAATGTGGACATTGCCCAAAGGCTGCAGAAACAAGAACTTACTACACAAGGGTGCTTCTTTCACATGATGGAGTTTCAAAATTTTTGTGAAAAATAAAAGCAAATGAGAGTAGGTTCAGATCAGTAGAACTGCTCCCAGTTGTAGCCACCCTCAGGATTGAGGGAGCCAGTCAGGAGGAGCATCACATCCACAACCCACCACACCCCAAATCCACCCAGTGTCAGGAGCTTGGCTATGCCGAGACATGTGTAGCCAAGGCAAAATCGGTCCACTCCAAAAATCCCAAGAAACAAGGAGTAGAGGAATATGGTTGGGAAATAGTGCCCTTTATATCTAAGAGGAACACAAATTTACTATAATATAGTGGCTATAGAACACCCTGTTTCTGACTTTACACAAGGAACATCTGTTTTAGTGAAACTGCGTTCTCCAGCACACTCAACTCCTTCCAAAACCGAGCAATTCACCAATGTCGTCTGCACATCTTCATATGTCTGCCCTCCAAACTGATATAATAATTATATACAACTTATGACAACACTATCACATACTAGCGGTAAATACCCTGCATGGACTTGTAGTGTTGGCATCTTCTACCGATTCGCACCAGTAAAAGTCCTCGGGCCTATATAAGAAGGGGGAATTAGGTCCCTCCCCTGTGTTTCAGACACTTACAGCAGACAGCAGAGAACTCGAGGACTGTATGGACGATACAAATCTACCTCAAACTCCTCACAGGTTCTGCTACCGTTCAAGAATATCTCCTCACAGAGACAGGCAAGAAAGAGGTTCCCCAGAGCCAGAGCTACCGGCAACCACATCGCACGCAAAAGTGGTCGACCACGCCCATAATACAGGGGCGTGGCGTATCACTTTGCTGCGCCGCGAGGATATGGATTTGCTTGGCTGTGGGAGCGATGGTCCACCGTCCCAGGTCTGAAAATGTGTTAGCTACATGACTAAGGTTTGTGATGAGTGCAGAACCATATTCAAGGTTCTGTCGCGACTGGTGGACGGGGACACTGGAGAACGTGTCTACGTCCTGACGGGGGGAGAGGAGGCGGGTCTGCGACTGGCGGCGTGCGTGGACAGCCGGACCTGGACTACTCTGCTGACTACTGCTAACCTCAGTGGCATGGCGCGACAAGTCGGCATTGACTCAGAGGAGTTCAAACAGGAGTCGGAACGTGCACTGTCCGGGCAGCCCAGGGCCACGGAAACCTTCTTTTACAGCGTGACCCACACGTCTGGGGGACTGCAGTTGAGTTGGAAACGACACTTGCTTCCAGATAATGTCAAAGTATGTGTTTAACCAGTTAGTAGATATCCTCTCTTATAGCTGGTACCACTGTTTTTCAGTTCCAGCTGGGCAGTGTGCTGCTGAGAGAAGAGGAGGCAGGACCAACTCACAGTATGATCCTGGAGCATGCAGTCAGCACCTTCCTCTGCCTTCAGAACAAGATATCTGAACTACAGAGAGTGAATCTGCAACTGGCCCAAGAACAACAAACAGCACTCGAAAGACTTGAGCATGCAATCCGTAGCAAGGAACAGGTAAACAATACTGCGTTGTTTTGAATGGTTTTGGACTGTGGGTTCATGCAGGTGGAAAAAGAGATGTACAGCAAGTTCAAACTGGTCCTGAATGAGAAAAAGAACAAAATCAGACGTCTAATGGATGGGTTGGTTACATCTGCTGCAGCCACTGCTCTAGAGGATGAAGTAGCTACTACGTCCCCAGCAGGACATTCTAGCACCCCTCCACCTCCTCCACAATCCAGTAAGGAATATTAACATACATAGTTTACAAACTTTCTGATTGGCCCGAAGCCTTGCTAGGTGTGCCCGAACTAGTTTCGCCACCAACAAAGAGAAGAAAGAGAGAGGCTAGATGCACGGAAACAAAGGAGCCTGACATTGCAAAGCCACCCAACATCTCCTGTCCACAGACAAAAGAGACAAATAGAAGTAAAAAGAGTGATTCTCAACAGAGCTCTAGTGCTGATGAAGATGATTTGTTAGGTTTACTTTAAACAGTGTTATTGCATCTCAGGTGAGTTCAGTTTTGATATGAGGATTGGCTTGAGCTCTGCAGGGCATTGTTCCAGTACATTCTGTGCGTGAAGTTATTATCATTATACCACTGGCAAACCAAAAGAACTTTGTACCTGCAGCTGCGAAGGGTCGGCTTGCTCTACAAGTGCCACTAGAGTAGACTTAGTTTCCCCAATGAACAGAACACTAAATGGCTGAGGGTAAGGGTGGTGGTCTCTCACTGCCACGAAGACAGTCTGCACTGACCTGATAGGCTAGTGGAGGAATGTTAGGGAGCGGTGCAGACAGACTGACACACTGCCCATAGGCCTTTACACACAGCCAAAGAAAGCATGTGGTAGCAGTCAGTGTGGATTTTAGCACTGGTGCAGAAAGCCTTCCTGCTAGTCTGTGGAGTTATATTAGTGGCAGAGAGAGGTAAAAACTGCTCTCATTGGCATGCTTACTTCAGCAATAGTACTGGGTAGGAACTTGATGGTGTGCAGCTGAAGGTTCCCCTGTATATTTACAGGAACTTAAATACTTACACATCAGACAATTATGCTTCTTACCGGAATTCAGCCAACATCTGCAAATGGTTTAACTTCACAAACTCTATAGAGTACGCAGACATACAATTGAAAATTTTGTCAAAGTCCATAATTACCTGGGACTTCTGATTGGTCACTGAGAAAAACTTCCATTGCTGTTGGCTCTAGTTCAACACAAGCCTATACACTGGAATTAGAGATGACCAGAAGATCGCTGCACTGCTGACCTCAAGAAGGGTCTCCACAGTAGAGAGAAGGGGGTGTGGGTGAGGGTTGCTTGCCAGCCAATGTACACAGCATACAGCCACAAAGACAACAACCTGTACGAGGACCAAACCATAAAGAGATCGTAACCAACTTAAAAAATGATACATGTATGGGAAGGTGGGCCAGGTGTAATGAAGCAGTGTCATCCTGCTGTGTCAATTTGTGCCACACTGCCACACTGAGTGGTGCTAGTAAACCAGAACAAACGAATACCGGTAGGGGACCCTGCATACCACTAGAGAACACCATTCACAACAGAGAAATCAGAGCTGCAAAGAATTGTACCTGTGAATCCATGGTGCAGTGGCTATCACTTCACATGGACAGGGAGGTTTGTTAGGAAAAAGAGGCCAGTGGACCTGCAGTTGGTACATTGTTAATAAGACATTATCCCTGAATGGGACAGTCACCAGTAAGGAGGCCAGAAAGAAAGGACTCAGTTCACAGAGCTGCTTGGCTCCACCCCCTGCAACAGAGCTGACTCCCTAAGTGTATATGCACCACCCTTCATCTTTGGTTATGTGTACAACACAAAGTCAAATGCTGCAAAAATGTATGCATGCTATATAGAGTGAAAAGAAGAAGGAGCAAGGAAACCTTCAGCATGGAGTGTGCATACCTGTAGAAGATAGTGGGTAATGTGGAATGGCAAAGCCATCATGGTCTGCACCAGAGGAGCCTGGAGAGCAGGGTGTAAGACTAGTCAACCAACTGTCTACTCACAAGAGTCTGCTGGACAAAGCTTCCAACTACCGTTACATCACCATCTTTACAGCCACAGAACAGAGTGGATGGAGGAAGAGAGACTGCTAACCTAATGTGAAAACTGAGTTCCAAAAACTGCATAAGCACTTGAGTGTTTGGTTACGTCATGGAGGAAGCGGCCAGGGATACACTGCGGCTCTAGGTTGGGTTACTGGTAGAAAGTGAACAGGGTCGACATTAATTGCTTACATCACTAAGTAAAGTCTGCAGAGTTTCCAATAGTGGAGACGATGAGCTGCAGCCTACACGGGCCAGCTCCTAGAACACAAAACTGCTGGGTTACTAAGTATAGCATAAGAGTGAACCGGCTAACCTGCAAGATCGCAACAAACTCAGCAGAGTGTTGCTGGCGCACTAAAGCCTTGAACAACGTCTGAAAGAGCTGGTCAGCAGATGAAGACGGTAAATACGTACCGTAGACTTCTTTCCATCGGTACGACAGTCTGCATGCGGGGTTCAGAGATTTGACTGTTTAAGACAAGACAAGCCAACCTCATTGGGCGAGCCGTCCGTTCTTCCCTGACGTCCAACTCCCATGATACCCACGCTTCGAACGAAATCTGCAGTAAAACAAAACTTCGTCGTCCAGAACTGCGCTATTTGCGCATGCGCAGTATTCCCGGTGCCTAGCAATCAATCCAATTGCGCGAAAAGAAGGAACAGCAGCAATGAAAGATACTGAAATTCTAGTGCTCGTGGTGGCACTTCTCGTCACTGCTCAACAATCCTCAAGTGATAAGATTCAGGTCAGATTTACTTTGTCTCCAACAAACTAGCTACTGATATTCCTGCTGCTCAGCTACAGCAAAGATCCAGTCTTGGCTGTGCCACTGCCTACTACATGCTTAGAAACAGCATTCCGCAATCCTGCAATTTCGCCTTAAGCCAAATCACAGCCTCACTTACAAACAGCAGTCAGCACATAGACAGTGGCGATATTTGCAGCTCATACTGCATCACTCCACTGAAACAAGCTGCACAAGAATGCACAGGTATCGACGACATATACACTGCCATCAACTTGAGGTGCTGTTGGAATGAGCATGGAGAACAGTAAGTGGCTCCAGGGCTACATAATGTATGGGAAAAGCAATGGTTTTCTACAGGTGTCTTTCTCTGGCTGGACATGCATCACTGACAGCCCTCGTCTCTGAGTGTGGCTACTACTTCAACAACAGCTCCTCTGAAAACTGCTCCACTGCATGCTCTGCAGCAATGACCACGGCTGCTACAGTCCTAGGCTGCTGCCTCTCTGCTTTGCTGACCAGTTCAGCGGAGGAACATTTTCTGCAGCCTAGTCTGTGGCAGCAGTGTCATGCACAGGTCGACAGTCCTGCATCACACTGCACTCGGTGCAGCACAGAGACTTTCAGCAGCAGTGAAACTGTCATACTCCTAACCATTGCTGCCATATTATTCACATAACCTTGCAGCTGTGCCACTGCTCAGCAATATAGTGATTCTCTAGCAGCAACCTCTCAACTGCTTCCAACACAGTATTTTCTGCATAAAATCAAAGGAAACCAAGTGCAAATCCTGGACACACTAGAATAATACTCAGCGTGGTACTGCTGGCATGCACAGCAAGGGTTACAGGTAAACGCATACTAATTGGCCCAGCCCATCAATTAGCAGTACCGCGCATGAGCAGTTCGCCGACGGTTTGCACTTTAGTGCTTTTCACTATGTTAGGGGATCAGAGAAATTGAAAAAAATGTAGAAGTTAACGAATCCACTTGCAAACAATCTGGGCTGAAGGAGCTCTGCCTTATGTCACCTTATAACAGGTTCATTTTAAATTAGTAGGTCGACCTACTATAGACCTATAGGCCTACCGAAGCTATTAAATAAATTATTGCCCTTACATAAGTTGGCAATTAGCAGTACAACATATGCGCGTGCTTCCGCGCGCGCGTTTAGTTCCCAGACAATCTGTTCGCATATGAGCAAGATATTCCATAGAATCATATCCCGTTCTCACATAGGCTACAATTCTGCAGAGAATGCAAACCCTGTGGTATATACTTTACCAGTAAAAGTCGAGTGTAGGAATCTTGCTCTTTTGTACATGTACACCATCTGGCAATACAACTCATCTGAATTCTCATCCATTGAAAGCTGTGTGGCTTACCTTACGAAGCAGACAAGTTGGCAGAGGAGTTTCTCTCTCTATGTGAATGAACTGCTCCATGAATATACAGCAAAACCTAGGGTTCCAGGTAAACAGGTGGTATATAGAGGCTGGACTAGAGATATCTGATTGATGCTAAATGCGAGAGTGAGAGCAGCTCTCTGCCTTCTATATACCCACCATTAACACCATTAACGGCAATTCAACCCTGACCCATTGTATACACGTACTAGGTCATGCTTTAAGAGTTAACTGGGAATTTCAGCATTTAAGTATAAAAACAAAGTGTATGTTCTTTCTGTACACTGATTGAGTGAGCGAATGTGGCCTACCTCAAGGCCTGAGTTGGCATATCATGACGTAATTGACAGAGAAGATCAAGGCAGAACTCTTTGCCTGTCTGTTGGCAGACAAGCAGTGTCCACTGGTGGTGACTTACACAACATCTGTTCTTACACACAGAGCAGTGCCATTCAGTTCCAGGCCGGCCATGGGAGGAGCTGCGTGGAAGGCCTGACACAGTAGCACAGCAACGGCAAACAGCTGCATTGCCACCAGCTCCACGAACTGAACGGGTAATAATTCTTCCCACAGACTTAAAGAGGTTGAGACTGACTTGAGAGGTCAGCAGTTCATTCAGTCGAGCATAGAGTGGACTATGAAGAGATGTGTGAGAGCTCAGTACAGCCAGTAGGTCCCCTACCCACCTGCAGACTCAGTACACACTCTGTACACATGCACACTGAGATCTACACCTATATCCATGATCCTTGTTCTCCCATTCAGTGACAAGTGTCTTGCCAATGGCACTCAGGATATGGTCCACAAGCTATTATTCACCAGAGAGTGATTGAGGTCCACAGCCAAGAGCACTGGCAGCCTACCTTCAGAGCTCTGACTGGAGAGAGAGTCTCTTCTCTGAGGCACGAAGAGAGGCGAGAGAGGAGGCTGGCCACACCTCCTGCAGGAGGCACCATTCATCGCGGGCAGCGGGGCAGGAGATGTCTTACCTGAGTTTTCTCTCACAACTCTGGGCAGCTCCTCCAGAATTGACACCACATCTCCAGTCACACTCTCCATCTCTGGACACACCAACTGCTGATGGTCTACTCACTAATAGTAACACGTTACCTCTGCCTTTCATTTCTTGACAAGCCTTCTCATAACGCCTCATCATGCGTGGGGGAATAATTTTTTCCCTGAGAGAACAACATTCTCTACTTGCATGACTGACTTCACAACGCACACCTTGCCAGAGCCGATATAAACTGGTCTCTTGGTTCAGAACAAGTCGAGGAAGGACACAGTAGCGATGGGAGAAATCTTCCTAAATAGTACGGTTGTCTGAATCTGCTGGCCTCTATGACACTCTGAGGGATAGAGCCAGTGCAACTGTAGTGCTCTATGGCCTCCTCAACCTCCTGTCTCGCCTGACAAGAAAGGAGACACAAACTACCCACCCAGGCACTCATTCTCACTTACATCAACATCAGTTTTTCCTCCACTTGGAACCTGGCAATCACGATAAAGTGGTAAGTCAGTAGCTATCATCATTGTATATACCTTCTCTCCAAGATCTTGCAGTCTTGTGGACACCAGTGTTACATAGTCATTGACCTGAGCCAGACACTTGGCCAGTTGACGAGGAGGGTGGGACACATGTGCCTAGAAGACAGCTAGTCTCCCACCTGACTCAACACACATAGTGACTTGCATATATACCTTCAGTGCAAACACTGGGTCATGAGGAACTAAAGCACTCAGCATTTTTAGCAGAAACAGCAACTCTTTCTTTCCTTTAATGAAAGTGCCACTTCTGTCCCCAAACACATTCTAGGATAAATTGTCACATTGTATTAAGCAGCAGTCAGTGCACACACTGGCTAGGAGATATCACATACTGCACCTGAAGCCAGTGGCCATAGGAAGTGAAGAGGTGAGATCCCTCCAAAGATGCCTGTCTTGCAAACAGCAAACCACAGGCCAACAAATGTGTGTCTCCTTCCTCCAGTCCCTCAGACACCAGACCCTCCACCAACTCTGCAGTACAACATGTTCACCTCCCATCCTTCACTGGTATATTATAGTCACACCAGTCAGTAATCTGGGGGTGCTCTGATCGTGTTGAAGAAAACACACCACAGCCTGCAGCAGAGCTGGCCAGTTGAGCTAATAGATCAGTACATTAGTGACACTCAAAGTACGGTTCATACACTATACCTGCTCCACACTTAGAGCCTTTTGAAGTAGCTCAGCAAAATGAGTGGTACCCAGCACAGAAAGAAGATCAGAGTAGAGAGAAATGGTTGCCTGTGGCAGGGAGGAGTACTGCCAGGTTTCCTGCTGCGAGACAGCCTCCGGCACTGCAGGGGAGCAGACAATCAGAGGGTATACATCATGTGGGTGGGACCAACTGGAGAGAGGAGGCTCCTCCAACCGGGAGCTCAACATAACTGCTCCAACCGCCTCAGCCACTGCAGAGCTGATTGAAGTACTTGCAACTGCTGCTCTCAACAAGGAGTAAGTGGGTGTGGCTTGCATGGCTATATATAGGGAAAGGTTTGTTTAGTACAAGCAAGCACAGAAGAAACTCACCTTGTGGCAGTTGCTTCACCACCTCCAGTGCCTCTGGACATTGCTTTGTGACCAGTTCACACACTGCCTCTGCTGCAGCTGTAAGACAGGGAACACTGCTGAACTGCAACCCTGCCTCCCCTTACTTTGCATGACAGCTATCTGTTCTGCAGAGACATTCTCCTCACAGCTGAGACTAGTGATGGCAGCAACCATGTACTGGACTGAGGCTCCACTTGTTCTGTAGTCACAGGACTACATTGGCACTTCCTCTCACACACCTTACCTGAGGAATGACTCTAGACTTGCCAGACTAGCAGCGTGAAGACTACAGACCACCTCCAGAGGAACATGTGGCAACTGCTACTGACACAACAGAGACACTCACAACAGACCCCAGACACAAGTCTTACCTTGACCAGAGACCGCAGGAAATTTTTTGGGCAAAACAGCAGAGTGTCTACCAAGGCACTCGCTGCTCGAAGGACGGATACCAGCTTGCACTGCATTTGATCAGCTCCAACCAGCTAATCAGGTGCTGAGGGGGTGGGGCTAACCCGCTGAGCTGCGGAAAGGAGATGGTTCCCGTCCTCCCAGCAAGACATCACTGCCTCCCACACGCCGTCAGTGGCTGAACTGGCATGCTGCAGGCTCTTAGCTTCTTCCTCACCTCTTGACGATGCAAGAAGATTTTCATCACGTGACCCAACCTCGCAGATCTGCAGCAACTTATCGTTAGCCGTTCAAAAACATACCTCCCCATACCTCTTTGGCAGACGAAGTCCAGCACAGTTGCTCTGTTGCAAGTCGTACTGCCGCTTCCAGCACACCCTCCATCACCGCGCGCGCGCGGTTCGGTGTGTGTGCGCGCGCATCGCGTACACCGCACGCGTGTTACGAAGCGGACAAAAACGTTAATTTAGATAATTCCGGCATACGTGCTTAACGCCCACGCAATGAACCGCGCTCCGCTTTGCCTAAAACAGAAGCGTTTTCATCGATCCCTGGACGCTACGCAAGTTTTAAAAAACGGTGCAGTTCAACGTTTCCCGTAAGAATAACCTTACGTTTAACGGATTATAACAACTGCGCAATAATATCTTTCACCGAAACCTACCGCGCACGCTCTTTTCAGCTACACCCACAAACAGCTGCGTGGGTGTCGAAGTTTTGTCCGAGCTACTGCGCGCAAAAGGAAGTTTTTCTTCACCCATATACTCCACACATGTGAAGCCATACCCATCAGCTGTCCGTAGCAAGAGTCCCAGTTCTGGTGCGTTTTTTCCCCTTTAAAATATGGACCAATGATTATACATTATTATAAAACAGTAAAGTATGGAAGAAACAGCAGAGAACCACACAGAGTTACTAGGAAAGCATTGTAGGGTGTGTGCAGGGAGGCTTCAGCAGGCAAAGAGCAGGTCCACCTCTTTCTTGTGCACCAGTCACAGAGAAGAACTGAGAAGTGCTTTTGGTATTGAGGTTGAGAGAGATGACATCAAACAGCACCCCACACATTTCTGTAATAGCTGTTACAGAAAAATGAAGAGAGTGTGCACACATAGAGCATCATCAACACCATACGCACCAACTCTGGAATTATTCAACTGGACACCCCACATGACGGAAGCATGCCCTGTGAGAAAATTAACCTTACTGCATATACAATTGTGCGCTACATAATACACAGGTATGCGACCATTTCTGCAAGCTTGCACGTGGAGGTATATAGGGGGAGGAAATACGTGGCGAGAGGGAGACCAAGAGGACTATATAACGCCAAAGGCTGTGATTACCCACATCAATGAGATCGTTCCGGAGCCCCTACCAACATGCAGCAGCACTACACCTCACCCGTCTCTCATGTGTCCTGTGTGCATGGAAGTGCTGATGTCACCAGCCAGTTCCTGGGCCACTACAGGACCTCATTCCCCCATGCAACAGTGATACCAAAAATGCATCTCCTAGAGGATCACGTGCTTCCGTGGCTGAGGCAATGGAGGTGTGGCTCGGGATTGATGGGAGAACAATGAGCCAAACACACTTCCACCACATGGAGAACTCCTACAGATGAATCAAGGATCCACTGCAGCGACTGAATTACATCATGCACCAACACATGCTGCAAACGGCCACAAAACTGAACATCCTACAGCCCCCAGTCAAAGAGGAAGAGTTGCTGAGTCCGACAAACATTACGTACATAGTGCACTTACCGAGCACGTCTTGTCCCACAGAAAAAATGCACCGTCTTGACTTGAACTGTCCCTTCCAGAGATGGGATTAGACGTTCTCGCAGTACAGGCAAAAGCGCAGGAAAAACTTCACGTGGGTAGAAAACCGGCGTCTAATACGAACAACTCCGCTGCGGAATGGACGCGTGTTACTCAAAAACCGCTTGGGCTAACTTCACCGGACAAAGACGGGGGCCACTACTGGGCCATGTGCTAGGGTCTAAAAGGTCGAATGGAGCGTGTTTTCAAATCGTTTGTATGGAATAGGGCCAAACATTCCGCCTGTAAAACGGTTGCTAGGACGTTGCTACGGACATGTATGCGGGGGAAAATATTTCAGGGGTGTGTCTGAATGTCCGCGAAATGTATTGCGTGAAACACGCGTGACCGCCGAGAGTTTTTACCGCCACGAGTAACTGCGCATGCGCACACCCAGCCCGGCGCCCTCAATAAACCAAGGCGCGGCCGGCGCGTCGAAGCTATGCGCACAGAGGGCGAGTGTCGCACTATAGTATTATATCAGAGATACGCCCACTCGTGGTCTGATGTGTAAGACTACTAGATCGTGAGCTCCACGGTTCGATTCCTGTATAATGATGTAATATAACGTTTTTTCATCAGGCCAGCCCAAGTGGCTAACGTGGGGACTGTCACATAAGGTAGTTCCAATCTCGGACCCGCAGTAAAGTGTCAGGTGGTCCAGAGCATTGGCTGGGAACAGCTCTGGTTCTCCCCTTACCCACAAATCTACCACTGACCCACGTTTCTCAAAAGGCAGCGTATAGTTCGGCATAGCACTGCGTCTGTCTGGAGAGATGGAGGGCTGGCAGATTATTTCAAAGTTTATTGTGTTGCCTTTTGCTATTTTTTCCACATTAATTTGTCATGATCCGGAGATCTTTTTTTTGAGCGAGAAAACATTTTTGTTTTGTGAGAAAAAACATTGTGTAAAAACGGGACTATCTACACACATGTATAACACACATACATACATAATTAATACATGGCAATGAGTCCTGAGTGAGGTCACTAGACCATGGTACTGTGCTCTGCATTGGGTGTGGTCTGGAGGGTGACTCCAGCACTGCCTTTAGAGCCACTGGAGTTGAGGGAAGAGTTGCTGGACTGGTAGTACGTCTCTCCCATGGGGTTGTCCCCTGAACCACTCGAAAGCCTCTTCCCTGCCCCTGCAGAAAACACTGGTTCCTTTCATCACACTACTGGGGGAGAGGACTTACCGGAGTCCTTGGCAGGAGAGAATGCGGGGCTATCGCGACGCGAGCCTCGGGACTGTTGAAGGTGGATGTTGTGCTGGTTGAGGCTGTCGCCAATTCGCACACTCTTCATCGGAGTTATTCCAGTTCCTGTGGCTGGTCCGCTGATACCACCCTGGTAAGGAGAGCGGGCTGGTGTGTCCACTCCTTGGTACGGGGAGCGGGCAGGTGTGCATGTTGGTCGATGAATAGCAGGTGGTCGCCCCATGGGAGAACCAATTGGCAGATGATGAGGCCGTGCCGAGTTGCTGGAGAGGGAAAGTTGTAGCTGCACGTTGTCCTGCTGGTACTGCTCCACCTGTTTCTCCAGCAGAGCCATCTTATCATCTTTCTCCTGCAGTTGGCGACGCAGCTGTGCCACTTCGTCTGAGCCTTCCATCTTCTCTGGCCGGTAGCTCTCCAGAATCTGCTTCTGTTCCGTGATGGTGTGGTTCCTTATCTTCTCTCGCAACTGCTCGTATTGCTTCTTCAGATCCATATTCTGGTCCTGCATCTCCCTGTATTTTTCTCTCAGGTATGCGTTTTCTTTCTTGAGGTTGACAACCTCCTGCTCTTTCTTCTGATACATGGTCCGCAGATCATCGTACCTGGCCTCCATCTCCTGCAGCTTGTGCTCCCTGTGGTCCCTGCTCCCATAGTCCAGAGCACTCTGCTCCGTGCTGGTGGTGCTGTAGACGGAAGTCGTGGTGTAGGAAATGTCGCTGAACCTTCGATCCATTCCTGACGGCCTCTCGCCTTCACCGTTCTGGTAGGGCAGGGAGAAACTGTCTGTAGTGGCAGTGTTCAGAGAGTCGCTGGCACTGCTGGTGAAGTGCCCAGATAAGCCTGTGGCCACTTCCCCCAGTCCATGAGTGCCTCCTTCTTGAACTGGTCTGAAGGCACCTCGTCGCTGGGGCGGAGTTCTTGGCCGCACTCCAAACACAGGGTCAATGTCAGGGGAAGGCTGCACGGGAGCAGGGGGGAGGGTTACGCCAGGCATGCCAGGGGGGAGAGCTCCAAACTGAGGGTGCATGTCAAACTTGCTGCGGTGCGGACTGCTGGCCAGAGAATTGCCTGAGAGAAGGATGGCAAATGAGACTCTGGTGGGACGAGGTACATACACAGCTAACCAGCAGAAGTAGCAGGAGTGGTCAGTTTTGATCCTGGCGTGGAGACACTGGCCAGAGAACTCTGCCGGTCTGTGAGCGAGACAAGAGACAGCAGAATGCAACATGTGAGAGACTGTATTGTCTTACGTGTGGGGACGTTAACTGGGGGGTTAGATTGGGGAGACATTGGACTAGGTGTTCCATCTCCTGGAGGGGAAAGACGTCACCAAATGATACAAGGCCAACAGTAACAGTTTGTGAGTAGATACCTCTCCTCTGGTCTTTGGCTCTGGCCAGCGCACGCTGCAGTTCTCTAGCTATATGGGCCTGGACACGCTGCTTTCTCAGTGCCTCCATCAGCACATCCATGGCATGCCCGTCCCTCTCCGAGTGGCGACTGTGAATCAGTTCTATCATCTCGTACACCTGCGCCCCCCCACGCAATCCTTAGCTAAACACTCAACGCCACTACTGCCAAAGGATCTCGTACCTTTTCACTGGCCGTGACTTTAGCCTTGATTTTCTCACAATCTTCCGGGAAAAGGACGCCCTTGGCTCTGAGGGCAGGGAAGTACCTGGCAGGATCGCCCAGCTCAGCGCTGAGATAGTCCACCCGACCGATCAGAACATTTCCTTTCAACTCGTTCATGTCCTTGTCTGCCAACTTGGTTGCCATCTTCCCCGCCTTTGGAATCTGTTACCTTCGGCTGTGTTCTATCAAAAGGTTCGTGGGCTAGACGTTAAGGTGTCCGGACAGCTCGACCACAGACCCCTGACGAGTAGAGACACGCAGCTCACGGACGACGACACATGAAGTTCTCACCACGCCTAATGTAAGCTTACATGACGTAATCGCATTCACTTTCTATCACGTGACTTTGACGGAAGTTCTAGCAGGCCATTTTGCACCGACCGACCAGCGGAGATCTTTATGTAGCTGCGCCGTTTGTTTCGAAACGTCTAGCTGGGTGGACGGAGCGTGAGGAGAGAGGGCCATCATGGCAGCTAATGCAGAAGGCCTGGAGTGGCGTCAAGCCCGTCAGTACCTGATAAACAGCGGCGTGATTCCGCCGACACACCGCGTGACTAAACCTGACGTGGATCTGGTGGACTTCGCTCGCTCTCTACGAGATGGCGTGTTTCTCTGTAGCTTGCTCAACATAATGAAGCCGAACTGTGTTGAGGACTGGTCACCCAGGCCGCTCATGCAGGTTCTGCCTATAAATACATGCACCATTTTGTACTAAGTCAATTCCTGGGCGAGAGTGTATGGAGTTCCAGTGTTGTTGTAGGCCCTGGTAGGCGTTGCAATGTAGGGCCGTCATTTACACAACATGCTGCGTTGTGGAACACACATTCATATCTGATTCTTGAAATGCCTTTCAACATCATGTCTCTCTATTTATTGCTCACCATGCCACAACCAGCACTACTACCTGCGTAACATTGCGGCTTTCCTGCAAGCCTGCAAGAAGCACTTCAACTTGCAAGACCTGTTTGTGGAGACTGATCTCTATGAGGTGGACAACTTCAAGAAGGTGATGCAGGTTCTGTCTCGGCTGTCCCACTCGCCTGAAGCCCTGGGCCTGGGCTGGGTGTAAGTTGTTAGTAGCTCTCACATTAGCTGTCAATTGGTCTGTTGGGGTTCTTTTGTGTCTGAAAGATTCAAAGTCGGGACCACTTAGCCTTGTCTCCTCCCTCCCTTTCTCTCAGACCTTTCCCACGCAAGGAGCAGCGGAACTACTACAACCAAGTCGCCAACGAGGAGAGCATATATGCATCTCTACAAGATGTCACTAGCTCTCAGTGAGTACTGCTTCCCGTGTTCTTCCCAAACAGGAACTCTCAGTAATGTGTATATACTGAAATAAGAATAAAGAATTTCGACCTTATTGCAAATTGCTTGAACCACTGTTGAAATGGTGTCCACCCACAGCATTAGACACTTCAAAGTGAAATATTGCAAGTTTTGTCCATCGAAAGTCCTACAATTCTGTACTCCTGTTGTGATGTAGTGTATGGTACTGTTTGTCTGTGCACAGCGACCGGCTGTATGCCAATGTGGACGAACTGTATGATCATAACCCGGAGGAGGAGGAAGACCCTTATAGTTATGGAAACGAGAGCATCTACGACTCCATCTGCTACTACCAGGCACAGGTGAGAGGTGCTTGGTGCTTGGAGTGGAACATGACGTGAGTACATGCTCTGTGCCCACAGCCCCAGGCAGGAAAAGCCACAGACGTTGACGAGAAGAAATCATTCATTCTGGCTGAGCTCTATGAGACCGAGAAGAACGTGGTTCGTGTGTTGAACCTCATCTGTCACAGCTACCACGGAGCAGTCAAGGCTCTCATCTCGCCAGAGGACTGCAGGCTGCTCTTCGACACTGCACAGGTACACCCCTCCCCTCCTCACTCCCTCCCTCCCTCACTCTCCCTCCCACATCCAGCAACTGTATCCGGTTCACTGCAGTCTGCTGGAGGGTCTGGAGAGGTCGCAGGAAATGAAGAACGACTCGAGCAGAGCTGTGGCTGATGTGACGCAGCATTTCCTGAATCAACACTCTGGCTTTCTTCACTATGGGCAATATGCTGTGCGGCTTCCCTTTGCAATTGAGAGGGTAAGGACCTCGCGTTTCCTCCCTAGTGAGTGTGAATCTCTGTCCACAGGCCAAGTTGCTGCAGACCAGGGGAGACACCGCCAAGGCCATGATGAGTGTCCAGCAGAACTCCGGGCCCTCTGAGAGAAAGTTCCCTCTCTCTGACCTCCTCCACGTCCCCATTCAGAGAGTCCTTAAATACCCGCTACTCATGAACGTGGGTGTGGTCTTAGATACTAGAGGAACGCCAGTGTATTGTAACTGCAGGAGCTGCTCAAGTGTGTTCAGAAACAGTCGCTGCCTTCGTCCCAGGCAGAGAAGGTCAACCTCAATACCGTCATTGACCAGTTGGAGGTGAGTCCATCGTATATAGCTGCTCCCCCAACCACACTACATGCCCCTAGGACCTGGCCAGGTACATCAACTCCACCAAGGGAGATGCGGAGGACATGAAGCAGATCGAGGAGGTCGAGCAGAGCTTCTCAGAGCCTCTGCGCACGCCTCTCCTCCAGTGTGGTCGCTACCGACTGGACGGGGAGCTGAAGGTGAAGGCTCCTTGTGACAACGGGTCCTCAAAGAAGTGAGTGTGTGTGTGTGTGTGTGAGGAGAGGATGAGGTGTAGTGAGAGGCCCACTGCATCTACAGGTGGGTGTTTCTCTTTGACAAAGTCATGTTGGTGTGTCGCAAGCCACGTGCCGTATTTGACCAGCGCTACGTGGTGAAGACAGTGTATGAAGTGGCCCAGCTGAGGGTGGAGCCCATGCTGCATCAGCCACGCACCAAGGTAAGCAGAGGATTCTCTCCTCCCTCCTCCATTGCTCTGTCTCCCTGTTCGTCGTCAGGGCCAGTTTGGGCTCCAGATCTACTATGGTGGGACCCTGGAGATCGAGGTGTTTACCAAAACTGATGAAATGAAGAGTAGATGGATGGAGGCCATTAAACAAGCCAAGTAGGTCCTGTCTCACACCTATCTTCCATGCTCTCCCTCTTTACTCTCCTACTCAGAGAGGTGACTGCTCCCCAGAACTCCAACAGAGGTGAGTGTCATGTGTCCACTGTCATTGAGCCCTGGGTCCATGTCATGAGCCAAGTGGGCCAAGCAGCAGTGGTACAGCGAAGGCCTGCAGAGTCGTGCCACTGATGTGCAGTTGGCCAGTGGCTCTGCAGCCAACACTGTCACATTGTGAGTCATTAGTTGTGAGTGCCACTTGTGCTGGTCCTCAGGGAACCACAGCTTCGAGCTGACAACGTTTGAGGAGGCCTGTCTCTGTGACGTCTGTGGGAAGCTCCTCTGTGGCTGCTATTTCCAGGGCTACTACTGCCAAGGTGGGTGCCGTCTCATTCCCTGACTGGACTTGCCACTATTTCATTCCCACAGCCTGCAAGAAGTCAGCTCATTATAGTTGCCTGGCCTCCGTCCGTGCCTGCAGCTCCATGCACCCTCCAGGTATGTTCTGTCCTTTGTTCGCTCGTCTCTTTCATCATTGCTCTATGTTCCACAGCCCTGCCTCCCTCGCGGCACCCAGCACTAGCTCCTCGACACAGCCTCCAGGGTACAGAACCTCCTCCCCCTAGTCCTCGCAACCAGTTCCCTCGCAGAGGCACCTCCTTACATGAGCCGGACCTCCACGGTCTGTCGGTCCATGGCTCACTCTCACACAAACCCCTCTCTCTCTCTCTACTGATACAGGGGGACACCCTACAATATTTGTGGCAAAGCAACGTTACGATGCTATTGGTCATCGACAGTCGAGGATATTGACCTTTGACCGTGGTGAGGAGCTGGAGGTGACGAACCCTGTCCCTGGCTCCGAGTGGTGGGAGGCGACATCACTCCGGACTGGCAGACAGGGGGAAGTCCCTTCCAGTTACCTTAGCAAGAAACACGATGATCTTAATCTCGACCAGATGAGGTGAGGATGGCGTATTAATGTACTGACTGACTTTTATCATACTGTATGTACGCCTGTCTATCTGTAGTGAGGAGGAGAGGATTCGAACCTTCAGTTGGTATGGCTGGCTAGTGTGGGCTCACTGGAGTCACTGTGAGAGGCTGTCTCTCTCTCTATCTGCAGGTTCATTGGAAAGATGTCTCGCATCGAGGCCGAGCAGTGTCTCCACAGAATGAAGGATGGAGTTTTTCTAATCAGAGAGAGTGATGCGCGAAAGGGGGAGTATGCCGTTGCTCTCAGGTACCTTTTTCCTCTTTCCTCTGTGATGACCTACTTACTTGTGCTTGCGGGGGTGGCAGGTGGAAACACATGCCAAAACACATCAAGATCTGCAAGCACCCAGACACCAAGCGGTTCTATGTGTCAGATGTCACCGATTTCCAGTCTGTGTGGGTAAATATTGCACCTACTTCCATTTCTCCCTCCCTCCCTTACTCTCTCTCCCTGTCTCTCAAGGAACTGGTGAGCTTCTACCAGACCAACTCACTGGGGACCAGTTTTCCTGGTGTGGACACTACCCTCCAATTCCCCTACAAGGAGGTGGACCTTCGCTCTCGTGGAGGAGTGTCCAACCCTCCTGCCCCACCCCCTCTTCCTCCGTCTCGCTCAAACCCTCCACTCCCCTCCCCTCAGCCCCACCACGAGAGGGAGCTGTGGGCCGAGGTACTCTTCAACTTTTCTTCAGAGTATCCCGACGAGATGAGTATCGAGGTGTGCCCCTGATTCAATAACCTCTCAACTCTTACTCGATGCTCTCTCTTTCAGAAACATGAACATGTGCAAGTGCTAGAGAAGCAGACGGATAAACCTGGCTGGTGGTATGGTCAGTGCAGTGACAGGGTAAGCATCTGTCTCACTACATCTACAGCCCTCACTGCTGTCTTCTCTCCATTCAGATTGGCTTCTTTCCTTCAAACTATGTGCGAGAGATATCGTAACTCATTGTGACATAAACTAGAGCAAGTCAATGTCTCCTGCTGCCACATGGTGCACATGCACACCCTCAGCCTAGCTCCGTCCATAGCTTACTGCTTTGTGTTTTTGTGAGTAGTATTTTTGCATTGTCTGTCCAACCAACTTGTATGTGAGGCATACATTATCACTGCAAAACTTCTTTCTTCTTCCGCCCAGTTTGTACACACCCCAATATGTGCGTGTATAATTTTTGCGCAGTGTGCACTAAATAGAGTAGAACGTAAAACGTGTGCGGAGTGGGCGGAGATATCTGTGACGGCCGCCGCAGCGAGAAGTCGTGAGGAGTTGCGAGGGATGGAGCCGCCGACAGAGAAAAAGGCGAGACTTCATTTTGGGAGCTTGGAGGAGCAGGAGCGTGTGCGACTGCAAACCGGCGGAAGCTCATTCTCCTCAGCTGTGCGGGAAGGGATCTTGTCTGGGAACATCAACATCACACCGACGACTGGTAAGGAGATGTGCGCATGTCGGCCGGGATATCAACATCATTCATTGATGTAAAACCACTAGTGTTGCGGCGTTTTTAGTGCACAAATAGTCCGAAGCGCCGGTCTCGGGCAAAAGGGCTTCTGCCGTGTGGCACAGCGTGTTTCACGCTGCAGAATCGTAATCAAGAGATTTTGGAAGCATAATTTTTGGAACAGTGGGCTATCCTGTTGCCTATGCAATGATGCCCACGTACAATGAAAGCAAAAGTTAAAATGTTTCTGTGTTTTGTGTTCAGGGGGAGTGGGTGGAGTGGCAACTGTGGTAGATGGACAGCAGTTGCAGTTGTTACAAGAATTTGAGAGGAGGAAGAGGGTTAGTGAATGTGGAGGAAAGTTGTGTTCCTCCTCAGCTGTTGTCATCTGCAGGCCAAGGCTATTGTAGTCCCCACTGATGACTCGGAGGTGAAAGTTCGTCTAAGGGACTTGGGAGAACCAACATGTGAGGACTATCTGTCGGGGGTGTGGCCTCACCGTGTCGTTGTGTTCAGGCCTGTTTGGGGAAGACCCTGCTAATCGAAGGGAGAGGCTGCGGGAGCTGTTGTCAGCACAGCTGGAGAGGGGAGAGCTTCGGGAGGCAGTGGAGGAAGCCACCATTGCTGCCACTGCTGTAGGCCACACCCCTTGCTCCACCCACTGTTGACTTTGTTCTGCAGGTTGATGAGGGGGTGTGGTTTCATGAGGGTCCCGAACAGTTGCTCAATGCGAGATACTGGATTGCCGACTATTCCATTCCAAGGTAAAGGAGGAGTTTAGAGGGAGAGGTAATGTGTGGTGTTGCAGGGCTCAGAAAAGGCTGCAGAATGGCAGAGAGGAGGCCAAGAGACCTGGAGCTGAGAAAGCAGCTCGCACTCAGGAGCTGCACAAGGCCTTGAGGGTGAGGTGGCTGGCGAATTAGGACACGTCATTGGTGCACTGATGTTCTGCAGAGCCTCAGTAACTCGGCCAGTCAGGTGGGAGATGAGAGACCTGTTTCCTTCTGCCAGTTCTCCCCTGACTCCCAGCAGCTGGCCACCTGCTCTTGGTCAGTGGGAACTCCAATCTTCTCCCCCCGTCTATATACTGATCTGGTCTCCCTGCAGGAGTGGTCTGTGCAAGCTGTGGTCCCTTCCATCCTGCAACCTCATCCGAGTACTGCGCAGTCACAACGAGAGAGCAGGCTCCATAGTGTGGCATCCCCAGGCCACCATCTCCCTCTCCCCAACTGCTCTCAACCTCGCCTCCTGTGCAGCAGACGGCTCCATCTCTCTCTGGGACCTCCAGAGGTACACACACACACACACACACCCTCCAGCTGCTTCAGCTCATTCCTCCCCAGTGACACACCAATGGGAGAGCTAGAAGGCCACGCCCACCGCATCTCACGTATTGCCTTCCATCCGTCAGGAAGGTTCCTAGCAGCAGCTTCGTGAGTGTGTCGCCCTCTCTTTCGTCTCTGCCTATGACCAGGGTCTCTGCAGGTTTGACCACTCCTGGAGACTGTGGGACCTGGAGTGCCGTATGGAGGTCCTCCACCAAGAAGGTCACTCCAGACCCGTCTACTCTGTCTGTTTCCACCCCGATGGCTCTCTGGCTGGCTCCTGGTAGGCCTCTTTCTCTCCCAGCTGACCACTCCTATCCCGTCTCTCTGCAGTGGGCTGGACTCATGTGGCAGAGTGTGGGATCTTCGCACAGGCCGCTGCCTCATGTTACTGGACGGACACCTGCAGAGTGTTCTGGCCATGGATTTCAGTCCCAACGGTTACCACGTAGCAACTGGAGGCAACGACAATGCCATTCGTCTGTGGGACCTGAGGAAGCAGTCCTGTGTCTACACCATCCCTGCCCACACCAATCTTGTCTCACACGTCAAGTTTCAGAGTGAGCTGAACATGGCAACGCATGCAATGATTAGTTTTGCATGCACGAGGCATGCAGTAGACTCAAATCCCCCTCTTCAGGCTTGCACGGGGGGTTCCTGGTGTCCTCTTCGTATGACAACTCGGCCAAGATCTGGGCACACCCTGGCTGGACCCCACTGCGTACTCTAGCTGGACATGAGGGAAAGGTCATGTGTGTTGATGTCTCACCCAGTAAGTTCCCTACTTCTCCAACAATTATAATAGCCCCTATTTCATATAGTAGGTGGGAATATGCTCCTTAATCTTCAGTTCTTTCTTCTCACAGATCAGAAGTATTTTGTGACTGCCTCTTATGATAGGACCTTCAAACTATGGGAAAATGAATGAACATAATATACACACAGACACATCTACTTCTACACATTATTTCATTGCTCTGTGTAAAGTTTGTGTCACTGGCTAGCGGCGCCAAAGTATGATGCGTTTGTTGCGATCTGCACTGGCAAACAACTGTCCCTTGGGGTGCCACGCACACGTCACTATCTCCTTCCTGCAGTGAAGAGACAAGAATATGTTGTCTTATCCTCAGGGTTGGGATTTTGATGTGAGTAGGGTCTCATCAGTCGAGTTCCATTAGTTTGTGCTGGATTTGTACAGAGTATTATGTATCTACCCGTGCTCTTTTCGAGTCTTGACTTTGCCAGAGAATGTCTCCCACACAAAGAGAGTGCCGTCAGAGGAGCCAGCTGCCACATACTGCCCATCAGGACTGGTGGGAGGGAAGGAGAGGTGAAGGTGATAACCCACTGTGTCTATGGAATACCTGAAGGCAGCTCTGGTCCAGTCGACACCAACATGAAACCCTGGAGCCCTGGGTGTGGGTGAAGGAGATGAAGAGAAGCGGGAGGCCAGGGAGAGAGGCATACGTGAATGTGGCAGTAATGGCATTCTGTCTCAGGTCAATGAGTCTCAGAGTATCGTCTCTGGAGCAGCAGAGGAGGAGGTGCTGATCTGTGGGGCCAGAGGAGAATCCGACTATCAGCACAACCAGTGGGAGCCGCTCACCTGGGAATATGTCCAGAGAAGTCACTTTTCCCTGCAAAGCAATCTCATTGGCTGTGGCTGACCTGTCTCAGGGAATACCAGCTGCTACTATAGTTGGAGAGACACAGTACCTTAGATCCCAGAATCTTATCCTCTTGTCAAAGTGTGCGCTGATAATGCCACCCCTGCGTAGCAGACAGAGAAGAGTGAAGGTATACATTATTACCCTCGGCGCGCATGCGCAGCGAAGGTACTGTTACTCTCTCAATCTCACTTCTCGGGTGTCTGTTCGTCCCAGAAACGATACCATCTACCCAACGGGCGACGAGGGTCATAAAATATGTGGGGTTTTCTCTGAAAAGGATCCGTTGCAGAGCTAGAGCGCTTCCAGCATTGTATGGCCATTTTATCGCTGGCGGCATGCGCTTATATTTAGCTCGATCGGGTCCGCTCTGTCTATCTTGAAGTCACAACGAATGGCGTGTATCGACTCTCGCGTGCTATCTACTACTTTAGCTAGCCCGTGTCAGACTCTCTGCGAGCTACTTCGCCGAGGGTTTGCACTTTAGTGCTTTTCATTTACAGTTCCCATTCAAGTAATGGTGGTGGTCTGATGGATAAGCACCCCCTCTCTTGATCGTGAGGTCCCTGGTTCGAATCCCGGGTGTGTACGCCTTTTTTACAATGATGTAATAGGAGTGTTGGTATATATGGAACGTTTTTTCATCACCTCTCCAGGCCAGCCCGAGTGGCTAGGTGGTTAGAGTCGTGGGGACTGACACCATAGGTGCCGGGTTCGAATCCTCGATCCGCACTAAAATGTCAGATGGTCCAGAGCATTGGCTGGGAACAGCTCTGGTTCCTCCCCTTACCCACAAATCTACCACTGACCCATGTTTCTCAAAGGGCAGCGTACAGTTCGGCATAGCACTGCGTCCGTAGACGTCTGTCTGGAGAGATGAAGGGCTGGCCGTTTTTTTTTCAACCTTAGTTTTTGTTTTTGCACTAAACAATCCACAGGTAATACGAAAATTAATAGAGAGATGAAAGGTTGGCAATTTTTCAACCTTATATATACTTTTGGCCTCAAACAGAAATGGGGCTGGCCATTTTTCAACCTATTGACCATGCATAAAAAATAAAAAAATGCCCAGCCCCATTTCTGTTTGAGGCCAAAAATATATATAAGGTTGAAAAATTGTGTATGGGTTCCACATTTCTATATAGTGTGCCGAGGGTTTGCACTTTAGTGCTTTTCATTGAGCCAGTTTCAAGGGAGCAAATTTCCACCCATTTGCTGTAGGTTCGCTAAGATTGCTTGTCCAACTAGCTCAAAAGTTTCCAGTATTATAGGGTAATCACCTAACTCCTCTAGTGACGACATCATTACAGCTGGAGCCAGCAAACAGGGTCTTGGCACCTAGAGATGTACAGACAGAGTGGGTGCACTGGTCCCTTCTCTTGACTCACATGTCTTGTGGTGGATGTCCCATATCTTGAGAGTTCTGTCATGACTTCCAGTCACCTGCAAAAAAATGACACAAGTTGGGTTAACTAAACACACACTTCGACCAAACTATGTTAAAATGGTTGGTGAATTAGAATGCAACCAACAGGGACGTACCACTTTCTGGCTCTCATCGAGGAATTTTGCAGACATGACTTTGTTTGAGTGACCAGTGAGAGTGTGCTGCGAGAGAAGAAAGGTGGTGGTCCTACTGTTGAAGGGAGGATCAGGGCTTACCTTCAGCCTCTGGTCATGGATACTCCAAATGCGAGAGGCATGATCATTGCAGGCTGCCAGCACCATCTTAGACTGGGTACGAGAGGAAAATGAGGGAGGGAGGGAGAGAAATGGAGTCGGCTCACCTGGTGGTCAAACTGAACAGACATTATACTCGCCCCACTGCCAGTCAGATTGCACTTCGCCTCCAGCTTCTCTGTAGAGAGAGAGAGTGTGTCATACGAGGAGGGGAGGAAAAGGTTTGTATATACCCAGTCCTTCCCTCCAGCACCACACCTTCACAACCTTGTCAGCTCCCCCTGTCGCCATGTAGTTCCCCTGGCCATCGAAGCACAGAGCACTCACCTCATTGTCGTGAACTTCCTATACATTGGAAGAAACTTGCATTAGGCTGGCCTGAGTCAGTAGTAGTTTAATATATTTATATGTACCATGGACTCCAGGGGGGTAGTTGGGCAGATTGATCCTTCAGTGACTGAGAGAGATCCCTTTCTGGGCTTCTTGTCGGACGAGTGTTTGCTGGTTGCTGTGGCGACAGACGGTTCCCTGGTTGCCTGCTCGATCTCTTCCTTCAGCTGCCTCTCTCGGTCACTTCGAAACTTTTCATTCTGATCATTGAGTCTGTCAGCATCTTTCACCTTGTACGACATCAGCTGCTTCCTCTGACGGAGGAGAGGAGGGAGAGGCTCAGTTTGATCTCTCCACAGACCACGTCACTCACCAGTCGGTCATTCTCCGCCTCTACTTCCTTCAGTTTCACCTCATGGGAGTTGTAGGCCAGCTGGAGAGCCTGATGCTCGTCCACCAGAGCCTGATTGGTCTGCTGAGCGGAGGCCAGCTCCTTCTTCGCTGTGTCTAACTCCTCCTCCAGCCTCTTCCGCTGAGACGTGGCCTCTCTCACCCTGTCACACACTCACTACTCACACTGAACACACCACTCTACACACCTCTCATCCTTCTTGACCAGGTCGTTGTCTTTCTTACGGAGCTGTGTGGTGAGCTCAGCCAGCTGGGTCGTCACTTCTCCCACCTTCTTGTGCATCTCCACCAACTCCTCTGCCTGTTTCATCACCTTTGACTGCAGCTCCTCTGTACGCCGCTGGTTACCTTTCCCTCCTGAACTCCCACTGACACTACACAATACAATGTCATTGACACACACACAGAGGGCCTGGGGCAAGCAGCTACCTGGATCCCTCTGACAACAGGGCTGCATTTTTCTGAATGTGGGAGCAGAGTCACGACACTACCACAGAGGAGATCCAGAAGGCCCTACCTGGTCCAACTCGTTGTTCTGGTATTCTAATCTCGTGATCTCCTTCTGCACGGCGTTCAGCTGCTCCTGTAGCTTCCCGTCTGCCGCAGACACAGACCAGGAGCAACATGAAGATAGAGAAATCATTTCTACCTACGATACGTACGAGAAGCAATTAGTTCAGAGAAGCCTCCACTCTCGCGTTTGTTCCTCAGCCGCAATTCTCGCAGAATGTCCAGTCTCCACTGACAACCTATCCCCGCCGCTTCACCTGCCATTATTCTGTGAGACTCTTATTCTGAGGGGGGGGCCGGCAACTAATGGTGGTGTAAAAGGTCATCGGAGAGTGCGCGTGCGCGCGCTCGCGAGGGAAACTTATTGCGCGGCGCTCGCGAGGGCGCGCGCTCAACAATTATTACTGCACATCAACACAGAATGCACCAAGTTGCTGTCTGAATTGCTCCATTTCTTCCTGCAGTTTCCCTGAGAGGAGAAAATTATGATACAAACATTTTGGGTAAATAGAAACCTTACTGATCCTGCCAAGGGCCTCAAATAACTCAGTCAGTTTATCGTCAATGACTTTACTGCTTTTTACTGTCTTGTCATATACTGCAGCCTCAATGGCTGCATGGGCAGAACCACTCCAAGCCTCCAGATCCTGCTTGAAGTCTGTGGAGGTGACAGTCTCTTGGAATGTGCAGTTACAAGTTCAGACGTGACTAACTCTGTAGAAGAACCTGGTCTCTAGTCCTCTTGGTATTTATCTCAGACACCATTTCCTCCACACTTTTCTCTATCATGAGTCGAGACGTTAGCTGCTGAGTCTCTGTACACTGACTCCTGCATGTAGAGAAATGGTGGTCTCAGTATTTCTGAAACTTGAAATACTTACGGTATGGTCTTTGGTGGTTCTTCAGTAGAGTTTTCCTGTTTCTCGTTTTCTCTGTCCTCACTCATTGTCTCCATCTCTCTTTTCTGTCACTGTTCTTGTGCGCGCAGCGTGAAAAGAAACGAGATTTCGATTTTTGCCGCCAAAACTGCGCGCGCCGTACACTTGTCACATGACATTTGTTGATCACAAAACCAGAAAAAATGGCTGCCTTCTTCCAGCACATGATTACACGTGAGGTCAGGAGACAGATTAGCGTTTGAAGGAGTAAGTGGCGGGAGCCGCAGTCCAGCTAGAAGACAAAATTGCAAGAAGGGTTCGGCAGAAGGGGTTGGGGTGAGGCGGGCGGTGAGCCCCGCCATGGAGCTGGAGGTGAACAGCGATGCGGTGGCAGTGGAGACAGTGGAGGTGGTGGCAGGAGGAGAAGACGGCGCGGCCGCGGCTCTCTTGGGACAGCAACTGATGGTAGCAACCACTCAGGACCTCATCGTCCCGTCCCCTGAGGTGGGCGTGTCTGGTTCTTCCCCTAAGAGAAGTGGTAATAATGAGCACGTCTTTCAGGCTGCACTGGAGGCCCAGGGACTGGAGGTTACAGGAGGAGTTCTGGGTCTAGCTGGTCTTCCTTCCTCCCAGTCCGGTATCGTAACTCTGCCTGTGGGGACCCCTGCCTCACTCTCTCAGAGTGTGCAGATTGGCAGTAAACGCCCCTCAGCCGAGATATCGCTGTGAGTCATAAACCTTGCCAATGGAGAGTGTGGAGGCATGTTGGTGATGCTGCAGGAGTGACTTAGGCCCAGCCGCAGACCTACAGAACTTTGCCTACACCGGTGAGCTGCCTCGCAAGAAGTCCCGCAATTATCTGGACTCTCACAAGAACATTGAGAAGAAGAGGCGAGACCGGATCAACCAGTGCCTCAACCAACTGAAGACTCTGGTCCCCGACTGCAGGCAATATGTATGTAGCCAGTACTGGAGCCTCTCACTGCTCTGAGTGTTGTGTGCAGGGGAACAAGAAGCTGGACAAGGCAGAGATCCTGGAGATGACCATCGAGTATATTCACAGGCTCCAGCAAGGCAGTGGGGCACGTGGAGTTGATGTCTCTCTTGGCCAGAAGGAGTGGGTCACAGACCTCACCACCTGGGTCATCCAGAACAAGATACTGCACACTGGTCAGCAACAACCACTCTGCAATAGAGGTAACAGTTAACAGAAGTTCCCTCCCTGTGCAGGTCCACACTCTCTGGACACTTTCTGCCAGGCTCTTCTCCTGCATCTGCAGAACTTTGGATCTAGCAGCTCCATTTCTTCTGCCACGTCCCTGCTGGTGAACCAGGTGAGGTGAAAAGAGAGATTTGTGTAGTCAGTGAGGCGTGCTGTCTCCCAGGTGGCCAGTGGGGAAGAAGACCCTCTGCTGAGGCAGCAGGTCCAGCTGGCCAACCAGTTGTCTCTCCTCCAGCAACTGTCCTCTCAGACTTCTGGCCAAACCTCATCTCCAGCTGGTGAGGCCAAGAGCTCTGCAATATCATCAGAACCAGCGACAGGACCTGCCGTCACTTCCTCTACCACTGCACAGGTGAGTCCTTATACCTCCTTGCTAGAGTGCAACCCATCTCTAAGAAAACCATTTTCTTTCCCCAAGAACATTCTTATGGGCAATTCTTATTAATCTTTTCTGTCCTATTGGTAAGTGGATTAAAGGGGTTCCCCTCATCCCCACTGCAGGCAGCTCCGTCTGCGACCCAGACTCAGCTAACGCAACTGCATGCTCTCCTACTGCTTCAGCAGCAGCAGCAGCTGCTGACTCAGCAAAGCCAGGAGGCAGGCTCTGACAGCCAGTCACAGGCAGCACAATTCCAGCAGCTGCAGCAGTTACAGCAGCTGCAGGCTCTTTTGCTGCAGCACATCGCCAACGAGGCAGCACAGCAGGGGAAGGGGATTGCTGGCTCACAGGACAGTTCTGTACCCAGCACCACCACACAGCCAGCAGACTCGTCCATGCTGACTACCATCACCAGTGAGGCTGCTAGCACCAGGAGCCAGGCTTCCTCAGCAGCCGCGCCCCCTGTCTCACTGGCCCCGCCTTCCTCCAGCATGGACCTGTCTCTGAAGACACCGGGGAGTGAGGTCTTGGAGCAGGCTGAGATGTACACTCTGGAGAACAGTCTGGACAACAACCACCTCCTCCAGGTATGCATACCATGATCAGCTCAGAGAAGCTCTAAGTCACTCCCCTGAAATGAGGACACTTCTTTCCCTAAATCAAGTAGGCACTTCAATTGGTCAATGGTGTCCTGGTTATGTGTCTGCACATTGTTCTCTCTCTCTCTCTCTCTCGCTCACGATGTGACTCTGCAGGTGAGTGTGTCAATAGCTGAGGCCGGAGGTGGGGAAGGAGACTCCGCTGTAGTGGGGACCATGGTAGAGTCTGAGGTGACTCCAGGAGGTCAGATGTGGTCTGGCGGAGGAGAAGACAGACCTGAGCAGCTCATGGCTCCCGACGTCCAGGAAGAGGTCTCACTGCTGGGGGACCAGAGGCACGACTAGACACACACACACACAACCACCTTCACCACTACATCACATCTTTGTACATTTCTCATATTAGTGACATTTGTTGCCTTCTTATAACAGTTTGATCTTTTCACATTATACAACAAAGAGAATTATGACAAGGTTGATAACATGAGAATGACACAATCACAAAATTGATAAGTGGAGTTGCTACAATTGGCACAGTAATCACTCCAGAGGCTGATACAATGGTTGATTAGCAATGACATCATACACTTTCACTACAGTAGAAGTCAGGAGAAGGTATCCCTCTCGAATTGGATCATAATGTCACTTTGATGAGTCATGTCGATCTTGGCTGTCATCTGAGGGGGCGTGGCAGTCATCACACAACAGACTGAGAGAGAGAAATAAGACTAACTGCTTCTCTCTTCCTGCGCTGCTCCTCTCGCTGCCTCTCCCGCTGCTTCTGCTTGCTCTCCGCATCCTCCACACTGCCAGCTGGAGATGGTGTTGCCGGGGGCGACTGGGACTGATGGGAGGGGGAAGGCTGGCTCTGCTGTTCCTCACGTCTCCTCTGAGCCTCCAGCCCAGCCTGTCTCCTCTGCTCCTTCCTCTGCTCCTCCTGTTGCCTTGCCAGTCGGTCCTGCAACACACACACACACCATTGGACTGCTAGCACACAGGACAGAGGAAAACCTCACCCTCTCGTTCTTCTCCAATGCCTGTTTCTTGAACTGCTCAAAGACTGAGTTGGAGGCGGTGGAGAGGAGGGAGTGTTTGGTGGGGGGGTCGAGTGGACTGGACACATCTAGAGGAGGACTGATTGGTGGGCTCTTATTGAGATTCTCAGTCTTGGTGGGAGGGGCAATAGAGAGAGGTGGCGAGGAACGTGTTTGTTGTGAGCGGCGACCAATGATATCAGCTGCTGATGGCCTCTTTAATAGAGCTGGTTGCTATGGAAACGAAATACATATGGTGGGCACTAATAAGGAAGTAAAATGTCATCAAGAGGCATTAATAAGGAAAATGTAAGTGTACATGTACATACATACATGTATACGCTACACGACCCACCTTCGTTTTGGGGGCACTTGATTTGTCTTCATTGTGTGGTTCTAAATAGAGAAAGAAAATGAATTCTCATATATTTCGCAACAGATGGTACACAGGAAAAATATGTGATTGATGATAAACCAGTGGCAGGAGTGCCAGTGTTCTAGTGACATTGATCATTGGAAGAGGAGACTGAACATGCCACTCTACATAACGTAAGTGATAGAGAGTCAGAGGTTCATGATTGAGGACCTTTCTCGGTCTCAGAGTCAGAGCTGGTGCTGGAGCCAGAGCCTGAGGATGACGACTCATCATCATCTGAGTCCTCGGAGGAAGAAGAGCTGGCAGAGAGCCGTGACTGGTGCTGGCTGGCTGCTGCTACCGACATCCCCTTCCCCCCATTCTCTCCACGTGCCTTGGCCAGCTTTCCTCCGCTCAGTTTGCCACTCACATCCTGTGAACAGGAAACTCCTCATCAAACTCAACCCACACCTCTCAGCCTCATAACCTGTAGCCTCTTTTCCAACTCTGCCTTCTTCTTGGCAGCATCAGTCACTTTGTTCTTTGCCTTAGCTGCACACACAAACACATCGTCACAGAACTCCCCCACCACCCCATCAAAATGCCTCACCTGACGGCCTCTTCTGCTTCCTCAGAACCAAATTCACATATTTCTCCAGTTCCCTGAGAGTGGAAGGTTTGAGAGTCTCAAAGTCAATTTCAATCTCATCAGGACTGGTGTCTTTGAGCGATGTCTCCCTCATCTGGATGATGTGGACCACTCTACCCAGCTTGTCTCCTACAGACACCAATACCAGCAGTGGTGAGGCCACTCGCAGCAGAAGATGAACAAACCTGGGATCTTGTTGATGTCCAGAGAGAGCTGCCTTTTCTCATCGTACGTCATTGGTCTACAGTCTCCCTCCTCGTCGCTACTGTGGGCCGCAAGGACATTCTTTCTCGATGAGGACCCACCTCTGTGATACACACCCACAAACCCAATACATGAGGTGGCACAGAGTGAAGACTGAGGCTCACTTATTGCTGACTGGTTTCTTGGCTGGCGGAGGCTGTGGAACAACTGCCTTTTTAGTCTCTGTCTTCGCCTTTTTGCTCTTCTTCTTCTTCCTCACGGCACCACCGACGTTGGGATGACTGGGGTTAAATAGAGGGTCTCCCTCGTCCATGTTGACTGAGGGAAGGTCTGCTAGTTTCTTGGAGGATTTTCCACCAGCGAGAGCTGCTAGCTGCTGATGTACTATCATGACCTGCACACACATTATTCCAAGTACCCAATGTGACTGCAGAGAGTGGCTGGGGGTTCAGACCTGTTTCTGAAGGTAGCTGAGCTGGCTGGCTCTCTCAGACTCGCTCTCGCTGTCCTCAGAGGAGCTGGACTCCCCACTGGCATCCGAAGGACTCTGGTCAGATCCTTCACTCACTCCTCCCTTCCCTGCTTTCATCAGGACAGCCTTGGTGGGCGGGGCAGGGGGCTCCTCGGGCATCTTGGCATATCTCAATTCAAACACCTCCTGTGTTCACATACACCACTGAATGGGTTAGACAGGGGGGGAGGGTAGAGCTTACCTGCAGCCTTCGGCCCATCTTCACCACGTCGTGCTCCGGAGGGTTGTACTTGTAGCAGTTAGTGAACATGAGTCTGACGTCAGCTGCAAACTCCTCAGGTCCATCATACTCCCGCTCCTCCAGCTTCTCCTGATATTAGTCAATACACACACCCCTCTATCTTACATACAATAGTCACACAGAGCATAAACAGTACCCGTATGGTGCTCATGTCCATCGGCTGTTTGATGATGTCGTGGTAGTCATGGAGATTAAGTGCAGCTGCATCCACCGGCTTATAGTAAGGCCAGGCATAGGCCTGGTGTTTCCGTGACAACATGTCCTTGAGTATCTGCTGGCAAAATCTCAGCTGCACAGAAAGCGGCCTTTTCTTACTCTGCTGATGAATATAGAGCAGACATTCTGCTAATATCCTAGTAAAACAACAGTGTCGTCAGCTAACATTGGCTTGAGGGTAGTCTGCCTCTCCAGGGAGGTCTAGTTTGGGTCTCTTGATGGTACGAGTGCTCTCTCTCCGCTGGGGGACGAGGGGGAGAGGCGGGATTACGCAAGAGGGACTCGGCCGGACTGTTGAGGGAGTGGTGGAGTCTGCCTGTCTCTTCACACCGCGACGGGCCTGGGGAAACAGACACACCCTCTCTCAGCCTATTCTTCACAGTCAGGAACATTTTCAAAACACACAATTCAGATTCTCTGCCAATATTCTTACAAATTTGTCTCCATAAAAAAAAAAAGGGGCAGTTTGTATACTGACCTTAACAACAGGAGTGGTACCAGGAAGAGAGGTAGTGGTGGAGGTGGCAGTATGAGCAGAGAGGAGAGGAGAGGGTGTGGGGAGAAGGGAGGGAGAGGAGGTAGGGAGGAGGGTGGTGGAGTGGGGAGGGGTAGAGGCAGGGGAAGACTGGGACACTGCAGACAATCGTCTCTTCCCACTGCCGCCCTTCTTGGCTCCCTTGACTGCAATCGGCACCTCCACCTCCTGACAGATAGAGAAAGGTGAGAGTTTTAGCACCACCTCAAGAAAGAAAGGTGGAGATTCCTCTATTCTCCACATCAACATCTCACACTACACCACACCAATGACTGAACTAATGTACTGACCTGTGCAGGCATGTCCTGTAGTTTCCTGTCCAGTGCCTTCTCCACCTCGTGGCACATCATTACTACATCCTAATGCACAGGAAGACACTTGGCATCAACACACATTCCATTCCCTCGCAGCACATTCCTGCCTAGCACCACATGTACAGCACATGCTCTGTATGTACACACTTCCTTATTGAAAGACTTGACACTAAGAGGGAAACCACCTTACTGGCAGGCCAGTATACACACTTTATTGACAACAGAGAATGGAGAAACAGCTCACATCAGTGGGTTTGTTGTAAAGGTAACAATTGTTGAACATTTGCCGGTAGTCCTGGATACACTCCTTTGAGCAGCTGTACATACAGTTCTCTAGGTTTTTCTTTACAGTCCCCATGTCCATTGGCCTCTTGACTATCTGGAAATAGTCCTGAGAGGGAGATGGCATTAAATACATCTCACCACACACATGGGAAGAAGAGCTCACTGGTAAGCTTAGGGCAACCGGATCAACAGGTTTATGGAACGGCCAGGCATAGTGGTGCCGCCAGAGAGCTCGCGTGGCTTTCAGCAGGAACTGCAGCTGGTTGGTGGTCGTCATCCTCTCTGTCTTGGCCGCTGGCTGCTCGACCCCAGTCAGAGAGGTGGGGCTGGATTTCTGGGGAAACAGGACACTAACTAACACACACACACACACCATTTCTCTCACTTACAGCTGAAAGGGTTTGTTGGTCATAGTCTTCATACTTGGACGACTGTCGCCGCACTCTCTTGCCTAGCAACTGGCCTGTCAGGCGAACAGGAGTCATACTGGTCGTCGTGGTAGCAGTCGTCATGACAGCAGTAGTGTAAGCAGTGGGTGTGGCAGTAACAGAGCCAATCCCAGTGACGTTACCACCGAGAGCGGACGAGGAGATGGGAGTGAGGAGGGTGTCAGAGTGAGAAGGGAGGGGAGACGATAGTTCTAAAGGGTTAATCTCAACAGTGTGGGGGACAGGAGGGGGAGCAGTGGCGAGGGAAGGGACAGCTGTGATACTCTCAGTCTCCACCAGCAGAGATGAGACGTTGGTGACAGTCCCTGACTGGACAGTGAGGCCAGGAGAAGAGGGAGTGATGTCACGAACCCCCAGTGCTGGTGGAGCTAGCACTGGCAGAGAGGAGGGGGGAGGGGCCACTCCACCTACAGAGCTCGTGCTGGTAAGAGACAGAGGCCAAGACTAAACACATGGCACTAAGCTTTTAGGCTTTTTTTAACCGCACACCCAGGAACTAAAGAAAACGACAGCGCCCAGCGATACAGCAACCTAACCCAGGCACTGAAACTAGCAAACAATAAAGCTAGAAGCGTCAGGAAAAAGTGCGTATTCTCGTGCGTGGAGTTAGTCTGCTCATGTGGCAGTTAGAGAGGAGTGCAGTAGACGGAGACGAACGGGAGACACCAGGACCCCAAACAGAGCCGCCCTTAGCCAACGACAGACACACCGTCCGCCCAGAAACACGGCCACACATCACTGCGCGCGGTTTTAGAACAAACGGCCTTCTTCTATAAACACAGTGGCTAACTCGGTCGCGTACCCTTCTGCGCCAACAGCAGAGGTGAACCCGCGGCTTCCACAGAAGGCTTGGCCGTCCACCGACGAGCTCTGAATAGGGGCTTCCATGGCTTTCCTCCTCGCATTCGCTGCCTCTCTTCGCAAAAAACTGCACTTTCCGCGGGGTTCGCGCGGGGCTCTCTTTTTATAGCCGTCCCGAAACGTCGCGGGTCGCTGCGGTGTGCGCGGAGCGATTTCATTGGTCAATCGGATTCAAAACTGGCAAGACCGGTTTGCAAAACCGGTTTCCGCCCACACGCGGCGGCAAACTCGTACCGCAATTCAGACCACGTGGAGTTCTAAATACCCGCGTTGGGTAATTTTGAAACGATCCACGTGCATGCGCACTCGGTGGTGGTTTTGTTTGTGTGTGTGTATTCCAGCAAATCAATGGCAGAGATACGAGCAGTACCACTCGGTAAGAGCCCTCATTTGGCCGTTCAGTCTCTGCATCAGTCTTCTCCCTGCCAGGTGCTGGACAAGGTGAGATTGTGTGCTACGTGGGTCACGTGAGCTCACAAGTTCCCTTGGTCTCCCTCATCAGATGTTGGTCGGAGCTGTATACTGGTGTCAATGGGAGGGAAGAACATAATGCTGGACTGTGGGATGCATATGGGCTTCAACGACGAGGTTTGAGCATAATATGGCATCTTAAAAGAACGTTAGATTCATAATTTTGGTCCTCAGAGGAGATTTCCAGATTTCTCGTACATCACTGACAGTGGGCGGAGTCTCACAGAGCATCTGGACTGTGTGATCATCAGGTGAGCTCCACTCGGTTGCCAGGCAACACACTGAATTACTCTCTTGCCAGTCATTTCCACCTGGACCATTGCGGAGCTCTGCCGTACTTCTCTGAGATGTGTGGCTACGACGGACCCATCTTCATGACCCACCCCACCAAGGCCATCTGTCCTATTCTACTAGTGAGTGTGGAGATTCAAGAATATATTACAGTGTTAACAGGTCTCCCCAACACTGCTGTAAATTATACATCTTGTTAACCCTTTCGTAAAATGTCCTTGCTGTGGTTTAGTATTGTAGAGTATCACAGTCCTCCACTAATTGCTGGGGGCAAGGGTGGAGGGAGGGGAGATATTGTTAGTGAATTTCCCTGCAGGAGGACTACAGGAAGATCACAGTTGATAGGAAAGGAGAGCAGAATTTCTTCACGTCCCAGATGATCAAGGACTGCATGAAGAAGGTCGTGACTGTCAACCTACACCAGGCTGTGAAGGTAGGGCTCTCGGGGACTAACGAGATATGGTGAGGGGTGTGGTCTCTGCAGGTGGACCCTGACCTCGAGATCAAGGCTTACTACGCTGGCCATGTGCTCGGAGCCGCAATGTTCCAGGTCAAGGTTCACCATCAGTCGATTGTCTACACGGTATGTGTTTCACTGTATGGTTAACCCTGACACTGACATGACAAACTTGATGAAGGGTGACTACAACATGACACCAGACAGACATTTGGGGCAAGTTTAAATTGAGTGAAGTGAGAGTGGGGTAAGATTGGGGTGTGTTACTCCAGATCAGCCTGGATTGACAAGTGCAGACCTGACCTCCTCATCACGGAGTCTACCTATGCAACTACCATCAGAGACTCAAAGAGGTTGGCCCCGCTCCATTACCACAGCCGGCACTGGTGGGTGTGGCTACAGGTGTCGGGAGAGAGACTTCCTCAAGAAGATCAGTGAATGTATGGAGCGAGATGGGAAGGTCAGCAAGCAGCACACCTCTCACCCCTGCCCTGTAGACTCACTCACTGCCTCAGGTCCTGATCCCAGTGTTTGCTCTGGGAAGAGCTCAGGAGCTGTGTATCTTACTAGAGACATATTGGCAAGTTCTCCCCACTCTCCCCACTCTCACTCCTATACCCTTCACACCAGGGAGAGGATGAACCTACTGCACCCCATCTACTTCTCTGCGGGTCTCACTGAGAAGGTAGAGTGCCTCACCAGTGGAGGCCGTGGTATTTGCTGTCTTCATTTACTCCCAGGCTAACCACTACTACAAACTGTTCATCTCCTGGACAAACCAGAACATCAAGAACACTTTCGTCCAGCGAAACATGTTTGAGTTCAAACATATTAAGGTACTGTAATCATCCCGAGCTAACAGGCTACCTTCTCTCTCTCTCCTCTTCTCAGCCTTTTGACAGGTCGTACATTGACAACCCTGGACCAATGGTGGTGTTTGCTACTCCTGGCATGCTGCATGCCGGTCTCTCTCTCCAGATCTTCAAGAAGTGGGCCGAAGATGAAAAGAACATGGTGAGATGTAGGCCTGTGTGTGTGTGTGATTGCGTGTCTGGCTGCTGTGCAGCTCATAATGCCAGGCTACTGCGTGGCAGGGACAGTGGGACACAAGATCCTCTCTGGCCACAAGAAGATCGAGATTGACAAGAAAATGGTGACTGTGAGGCTTTCTGTGCAGTACATGTCATTCAGGTAAGGCAATCCTCGGTTCAACCAACACTATTCTCTCACACTCTCTCTATTGGCAGTGCTCACGCTGATGCCAAGGGAATAATGCAGCTCATTCGTCAGGTACAGGCTGCAGTCAGTTCTCTCTTTTTCATGAGCTTCTGTGACTTTTGCCTTGCAGGCTGACCCAGCGAACGTGATGCTGGTTCACGGAGAAGCAGCAAAGATGGACTTCCTCCGACAGAAGATTATGCAAGAGTTTGGAGTTCACTGCTACATGCCTGCCAATGGAGAGATGGTTTCCATAGCTACCAAGCCCATGATATCAGTGGACGTGTCTCGCAGTTTACTGAAGAGAACTCAGGAGCAGATCCACAGTGAGTGACCTCATCTCCTCCCTGTGACAGCCAGTGTGTGTGTGTGTGTGATGTCAGGTCCTCTGGCGAAGAAACTCTGTCCTGTGAGAGGCTCGGCTACAATGTCTGGACTCCTAGTCATGAGGAACGAGGTGAGATCCCTCAACACTCCTGAAAATTAGGACATGCATTCTTTCCTAAAGAAAGTATGGAAACTGTGCTAATATGGACACTTTCTTCTGTGACATTGGCGTCAGGATTAGAGTATGTCATATTATCTCTGGCCGCAGTCTCTGCAGCTGATGAGTCCAGCTGAGGCCAGAGACAGCCTCGGACTACCTCCCCACAACCTCACTTTCTCCACCACCGTCACCATGGAGACCAGGCCACGCCCACCAACAGAGCTGGTGGAGGCACTGGTAGAGGTGTTACAGAGGTGTGCTCTAGTCCCTGTCTCAGGGAGTGCCGTCAGGTGGTGTATCTCTCCGCAGACTGCTGCACGACCAGTGTGTGTGTGAGGAGGAGGGGAGAGTGGTGCTGATGGGGACCAGTGTGCGGGTGGAGGTCACCTCTCCCCCGCCCACCCTCTCTCTCCTTGTCTCTTGGAGCTACCAGGACGAGACTCTGGGGGACTACGTCCTTAGTTCAGTTCAGAGAAACTTGTCCAGACTTCTGTGACATTTCCTGTCCAATTGTCAATGTATTTGTGAAAATGAATGCAGCACTTTCGGTGAATGAAGACACACAGTATGCTATGATAGCGGCGCCATAATGACATCAGTGAGCACCAACGAAATGCCATGGCCAGACTATATATACATCCTTTATGCATGTCTCAAGATTTCACAGTGAAACTGGAGTAATTTTGTCAAGAGTATAGTTGAGTGAGAGAATGGAGAGACTGAGTCCAGTGCCCCCACCATCGCTCCTCCTTCCCCCTCTCCTCTCTCTCCTCCCTCTCCCTCTTCCCCAATCTCTCCTCCACACACTTCACAAACTCCTGCACCAGCAGACACCTTGTCACTGGGGAACAGACAATGCGACAGGTCTCACCTTCAGTTCTCTGTCTCTGGCAGTGATGACTGCCTGGTGAGCCTCGCTGGACTTCCTGCTGTGAGGCTGTGACCCCAGCTGCCCCGCCTCCTCTGGCTCCAGTCCCACTCTCTCCAGGAGGAGCAAGGAGAGACCTGGCCACTGGCGAGCCTGCGAGGTGCTCACCGTGACTCCTTCATCTGGTCCAGGGGAGGCAGTAAGAATGAGATAGTGGAGGGTGGTACGTGTACCAACCTTTGACATCGTCGGCTGGTTTCAGTTTCAGCCTCAGTAGTTGATCTACTGGCAGCTGCTCCGGAGTCTCCTCATCTGTAGGGACCAGAGAAGGAGGTATGCAGAACCCTTCTCTCTTTGTATCAGTCTCTGTCTTGTAAGAGAGGATGGAGGTAGACTCACTGCCAGGAATGATCTCATTGGTGGTGGGGACAGTGTCATAGAGATCCAGCAGTCTCTGTGTCTCTGTCGCCAGCTCTGCTGCCAGTTTTCTGCTCACTTCCTTCACACACACCTGCAGCAGGAGAGAGGATGTGTAAACCACAGTCTAGATGTGTATGCTGCTGCCTGTGAAAACAACACATGCTCGAAATGGAACAGCGGCAGCTCCAGGGTCACTTGTACATGTCTAATGACAGTGTTTCATAGCAGTGAACCTGGAGACTGGCAGAGTGAGATGAGGTGTGGTCCAGACAGAGTGTGTGTCTGGCCTCCTCAGCAGTAGAGAGCTCTGCCAGCTGCTGGGAGGCTCCCGGGTGGCCCAGACTTGGCTCCAGATACCTCTCATGACACTCCTTATCATCACACTGGTGAACATACACCTGGATAGTGTGAGACAAACCTTCTTCACTGCCAGCTCATGCATGGTTCTCTGGTGAGAGGTCCCTGCCTCTCTCCACTCCTTCTCCCACTCCGCCATGTGGCCTGCTCTGACTCCACCCATTACATGTGAAGCCACACCCACCTGGAGAGCCAGCAGAGCCTCCAGCTGACTTCTGAACTCTGTATTATACTAGCTGAACACAGTATTCAGTAAGAGGAATATACACGCCACTCACCAGAGATGGCGTTGTTTCGATAGTCCTCACACTGCCTGCGGTAGCCCTGACAGGTCTCTATCAGTCTGTCTAGAGCTTCCTCGCAAGTACCGGACAACAGCTGACACGCCACTGGCCGACTACCCTTACCGGTGTAGTAGACCTGTTCATAATGTCGACACACCTATACACAGTGAGTGAGGTTATACTGTATGTACATACCTCAGTGGTAGTGAAGAGGTGAGAGTAGCTGGAGGACAAGAGAGCCCTGATCTGAGGCAGGAAACAGCTGCCAGAGGAGAGGGAGATAAGGACACTGGCACACACTGAGACTAGTGTCCTCACCTCCTACAATCTTCTCCTCCTCCAACACCAAAGTTGATGTTCTTCCTCTCCACAAGCGCCTGTGCTGCCTTCTTCCGACTGGACACACACACACGCTGGGATGTGGTCACTATGAGAGCTCACTCACCTCAAGGTCCTGCTGCCTTCAGTCCTGGAGGGTGGCTGGTGACCAGATGAACTACTGGTGACTGATGGGCCCTTGCCACCACCAGCTCTTGTGTGACTGCACAGGACAAGAATATTCAGAATGATTGAGGCACCAACTCATGCAGTACGCAATGTCACCCATACACTTTTCCTCAAAAAGATTTAATTCTGGACTAAAGAATATGGAACTCACTCTCTGATGCTCTGTGACACATTCACTGCAGATATGGGCTGTTTCTGTTGGCTGCCCACCCTCCCCCCCTGCCGAAGTGTGGTTCCGACCCTCCCTCCTGCTGCACCGTGGCTCGGCAGTGGAGGTAGACAATTCGCTGAGTGAGCAGTGTAACAAGGAGGGGCACACTCTCGAGGAGGTGGGTGTGGTCTCCAGACTGGAGTGATACACATAATATGTCAAACATGGTGGAGTTTCCAAGCCACACCCACCTCTAATTGCTCCCTCGTTCTGGTGATGTCATCATGGAGTCTGCTGGCCTGGAGGTTGCTATCGGCAACCACACTACGAACAGAGAGTTGAAGGGTAGTGAGAGATTTTTTCACCTCCTCCAGGTGGCACACATCGCTCCAGTAAAGATGGTACCTGACGTTGAGGTAGGTACAATATATTTATGACATGTAAACAAGTGCTTGCTAGGCGTGTATGATGCTGACTTGTTGTAGAATTGAGAGAATGTGTTGGTGGCAGCCTGGGAGTGAGCAGAGGAGGCCTGTGCCACGGTGGCCAGGACCTGGGGCCCCACTACACTCAGCTTCCCGGCCAATCTCTCCAGCCTGTGTGAGAACAGCTCCACCTCCTCCGGGCAGTAGTTGCCGGCCTCAGAGAACAGCCTGGAGCAGTGAGAGAGGTCAGTATATAGGACACTCAGGGACAGGGTGAGGCAGACTTGAGAGAGGCTCTGAAGGCAGTGTTGGCTGAGGAGAGCTCAGAGAGAGAAGTCTGAATCGACGTCTTCACCTCACTTCCTATCTTCTCCACTCTCTCCAGCCTCTGAAACAGAAGGGATGAAGAGGATCAGCAGCAACTATAATATGCTAATATTCTTGTCAACATTCAGTCTGCGAGCCTCTACTGGTAATTCACCACTGAATAAGGATTAATTTCTGTACCACTGTTGGACAGTATAACTAACAGTGGATGTCTGGTTCTGAGGGAGTCAATAATACCTTCTCCAGGAGATGTTTGCCCATTTTCTCTACTTGCTGCAGACTGCCAGACAAGGAGTGAGGGAGGTACATACACCAACAGTAGAGAGTAGTCACCCACTCACCCCACACTACTGGTGATCTGAGCCAGACTACGAGCCAAGTCCTCCATCTTCTGACGGTACTCATCTTCCTGTAGCCATGTCTCTCTGTTACCCAGTCAGTCACCACCAAACTCTGCATGTACCTCAGTCCCCATGGAGTCTGACGCGGTCCCACCACGTGCTCTCACTTCAGAGATCTCTGACGCCACAGCTCTTGCGTGGCGACCAATTCTGTCTCTGTGGGCCTCCAGCTCAGCTGTGCAGAGAACAGAGAACACAGTGCAGGGTAGAGGATGAGGAGGGAGGGCCTTACCTGCCCTTACTCTCTGGATGTCTCGACTGATACGAGACTGCCTCGGGCGATGGAGGTGCATTCGCAGGTCCAGCTCCCCGCGAGCCTCTTCTTCCTTCTCCCTGGCCTCTCTCTCCTCTTCTCCTCTCACCTCTCCTCTCCACATCTCCAGGTGGTCAAGGTACACCACTCTCAGACTGCAGGGAGACAAAATCACTGAAAACATCTGTTCATGGTAAGAAACGAAAATTCAACGTTCACAGATCTAAATGTACATACGATAAAAACAACTGCTGTTAGCAACAACTGACCTTGCTCGAGCCTGTGTGTACTTTTCTCTGCTGAGAGGGAGAGCTTGATTGGCAATACCATGAGGGGCTCCCTCACACTCTGAAGGTGAGTAGTGACCCAGTAAGAGAAGTGGTGGGCTGAGGAGCGGACTGTACCTTCATTCTGAGTGAGGAATACTCCAGTTGAATTCTCGGTCACACCCACCACGTAGAACCTCACAGCACCTCCTCGTACTACCACCTCCTCCACTATCCCCGCCAGGCTCGGCTTGGGGGCAGGATCAGTGGGTGTGGCCTTCTTTGACTTCTTACTCCCAGCTTTAGCTCTGCTGGCCACTTTCCCCTTCTGTATAGTGTGAAAGGCAGAGTGGTTGACGGAGGTGTACAAACAGGGCAGCTCACTTTGTTCTTTGGGGAGGAAGGTGGGGGATTCCTGGCCACTCCCAGGTAGCCACAGAGAGCAGTGTCGTAGTCCAACAGACAGCGAGCCACTGTCTCTGGACCAGCTCCCACCTGCTCTGACAGAACCTCACGGAACTCCTTGTACCTGTATGTAATACACCCACCAGGGGATCAGTAGAAAGATGCACACACGAACTGGTCCTGGAGAACGCACAAGGTACGTATGTACAGGTATGGCAAATAACACACAGAGCCAAGCAGAGTGCACATCATCTCTCAACATCTTCTCACAGCTGGTCCAGCTCAGTTGGCTTAGGTCCAGCTAATGGCGGGGTGTCTTTGGATCTTACTTAACACGCAATGACTGGGCTGCTTGCCGGCTCAAAGCAAAGTGTATGCGCATGCACATTCCTTGTATATAGACCTATTGGGAGGGTCCTTGTTCCACAACTCACCCTCCACTGATCACATCAAGTAGAGCATTCGCCTCCTCCAGACACTTGTCCAACACCTGGTGTGAAACACACTATTACATCATGATGATGTCATTGGTTTTTACCCTCACCTGTTCATTGGGAGCCTGTCTCATGTGGTCAAGGACCATGTCCAGGTTGGCCTCCACATTCTGGTTCCTGATGTCGTGCTCCACACGAAACCGCTCCAGCGCCTCTTCTCGCGACCTTCTGACCTCCGACAGAGCGGAAGAATGGTCTCGCCACAGCTGCCCTGTCCCAATTCCATACTGGAGAACAGACTGGAACCAGGACTGGTGCTGTCCTATGTGGGCCTCGACTGCCACCTGCAATACAACACCAGCCCAGTCTGACACTCAGCAAAAGACGTGACAGAGAGAGAACCTCTATGTTGCGTAGCTCACTCCGTCCTTTCTCTGCCAGTCTCTCAGTCAGTGGTATGTAGTCTGAGTTCAGGACCTGTGTTCACACACAGACAGAACATGTATCAGCCCCCACGGCGGGACCAGGCAGTGTACCTGGTACACAGATGACTCGTCACACACACCAATGTCGAGGAGTCGCATCTTGCAGACCTCCATCTGGGCCTCACAGGCACCAACCAGCTGCTCCCCGACATAACCCAGTCTCAGTAACCCCTGCTGCACACAGATACCTGCACCACACGTGGCTCTCTCATACCGTGCCACAGTCACTCACTGATCTGTTGGTCCAACTCCTGGGCAGAGTCTCCCAGCCGATGCAACATCTCCATGACAACAGGGGAGGGGCCAAGTGTGGTGAGTTGAGCAAGGAGCTCAAGTTTTCTCTGTTGTAACCGTGACAACTCGTCAATCATTTCCTTCTTCACCCTCTCGGCCTCTCTCTTCCACCTCTCCACCCCTCCACCATCTCCCTCTTCTCCCTCTTCCACTCCAACATGAGCTCTGCATGCAGTGGAAATCAATGTGGGTAGACAGACAATTCAAGACAGGTTAGTCCATTTGTAACATTCAACTAGCAATCCATTACTGATTTCTTCACAAAGCTCACATACTGTCCTCACCTGAACATGAGCAGTGTGTCTTGGAGCACTTTCTGCCGCCACCTCTCCACTCCTTCT